GGGGTATGTCTGGGGTGTGTCTGGGGTGTGTCTGGGGTATGTTTATACCCCACCTTCTGCTTTTTCGCCAAAAATTTGTACTCAGGTCGTGATTGGCTGCCATTTGCATACCCCTGACACACCCCCGAACATACCCCCGAACATACCCCTCGCATGCATTTTTGACCAGCTGCTGCAGTTTAGATAGTAATTTTGGGAGCATGGAAATCCAATTTGTCATGCTGTTTGAGCAGAGAAGACTGCTTTTGTCATGCTATTTTAGCAGCTCTACCTCACACCCCAAACAGACTTATAATCGGTCTCAGTTGCCTGCTCTGCAAGACAGGCCCTCTGCGTCTAGCATTTTACGCATCACAAACTATTTCAACTTTGACGATTTCAATCCTGACACTTCCATACGCCACGACGCAGCTCCGGCCAAACAAGTCGGAGGAAGTGCCGGAAGCTTTTCGCGCGACTTGTAGTTGAAAAAAGCCATTTTTGGTGATCGATGTTTTGGGCCAAAACTTTTGGCCAGCAAAAATGCTGTAGTGAGAAAAATAAAACGAAGCCGGCAAGTGTGATGTAGAAGTGTCTGTGAAAAGAAAAGTAGACGGCTGTGCATACGCCGTACGTAAAATTGTACAGGAGAGGGCACAATATCTCTGCGGAACTTCTTATATGTTGAAGGGTTCAACACGGGAAGAATATCCCACCACGTCGAGTAAATCTAAATCTAAATGTAAAGGTAGAAAATTGATTTTTCGCTACATCAAATTCAAAACCACAGGTGCAACTTGCACTTGGAATTGACTCCTTGGACGATATGAAAAAGAGGTACAAGCAAGTACTCTAGGTACATCAAAACTGGTAGATGTTCTGATGCGAAAGGTAGGAATGAAATGTCGATGGCGTCAGCTAATATCGGCTGCACAAAGACCCGGAATTATACTGTGCGTAGTATAAAAATGCTCTCGCCATCTTCGTCCGTGAAAAAGAAATGGAAGATCAGAGCGTTGTAGGCAATCCTTTTTTTCTGGTTCGAATCACGGGCAGTTTTTGGTTGCGCAAAAAAAAATGGAACTTTTGAACGGGTCTAATTGATATGAGGAAAGATCTTCTACAACACCTAATCACTTAGAACAAGGTCAGAGAGACCACCTCCTGTCTTTTTTACCAGCAGAGCTGCATCAACACCAGATCGATCATTTTCAATTCGCAACACGGATCCTGTTCTGTTTCGGGGGTGCCAGGATTGGAGGACCCAGTTAATACTTAGAGTTTAATATCCATATCCTACGTGGTTTCATCTTCACCAGAGAACAACAACACCGAGCACTAAATGCGGTGCTGCGCGGTCAGTCCGTGGTCCCTTAACCAAAAAAGGACGCTGGTGAAGACCAAGAATACAGGAGCAATTTAATATTTCATAGCAATGTTCTTTCCTCGCGCGCGTTTTCCGTTTCAAGTAGAGCCTCTTGCTCTACTTTCGCGACATCATCGTCGCGTTTGTTTTCGACATCTTGCCTCCTCTGGCAAAGACAGTCCGGACGGACCTTCTGCGGAAAGCTTGTTTCCTGCTTTTTTTTTTGCGTAGAAATAGCACCAACACGAACGGACGTCGACGTCCAAGTACTAGATCCGGCTAAAAGTAAATTTGTGCTCGAGGACCACGCTGCTTCTGCGACTGCTGCGCATGTGATGTTGCGGTGGCTCAAAGGCGAGAAGCAGGTCGTGCTCGTGAAGTGAAGCAACACTAATGAGTAGATGTGGAATGCGTTCCAAAATGTTGACACTGAATGACTTTTGTCTCCAGCATAAACTAATTACCACAAATACAACAAGAAGCTGCTCGCCTGCGTTTCCTCCGCCGCGGTTCGCTATAATTTATCGGTGCAGCTGCAATCTTCTTTTGCTCTCTGGAATGTAGCACATCGCTACTTATACTTCATCATACACTAGGACAAGCAGGCTCAGGATAGCTAGGACAAGCAGGCTAGGACAAGCAGGCTTCATCATACACTAGGATAAGCTAGGATAGCTTGTAGAATGTAACGCAATGTCGTCCAAAACAGCGCATGTTGATCACGCACCGGTAGATTTCCACATTTGCCGCACGGCGTCAAAAAATGAAAAACTTCGAGATCATAAATAGTAGCAAATAGAGAAAATATAAATAACCACGACCGCTGTCGTGGCCATTACTTTTACTTAAATAGAAGTTGCAGTTTCTTGATGTTTCTTGTGTGGTCCTCTTCACCGTGCTTCATTCGAGTAGTACAATTTAGTTTACAGCTCCAAAAGGTAAAGATTTGATAAAAAAATGCTCAGAGCGTGCACAAAACAAAACTTCCAAAACTAAACAGAAAACGAACCATTTATGATTTCCGAAAGAAAAATCATTTGAGACGAGTAAGCTCTGTTTCAACAAATATGTTTCCTGTAATTTTTCGATCATCACCTACATAATTACGACTTCTTTTCTGGAAAGCGATTGTGGTGGAGATGGTGCAGATGTTGACTGTCACTGTGCCGGTAGCGGTACAATATTTTGCAATATAGATACAACTTTTTCACGATCGCGAAGAAGGAACTAGTGCTGTAGAGACAACAAGTACAGCGAAGCTGCGGCGCAGCCTCACTCTACTCAGGCATGTGCGAGACACACGATCCGCATGTCTTAGTGTAGATGTAGAGGCATTTTCATCATGATATGGGGCATCATTCCGAAGGTTAGACGGCTGCTGCTGCTTGACCATGATAGAACTCCGAAGCTTCCAGCACATCGGTGAAGATACCTAGGTAGCCTAAAAGCTCTGCTCTCGTGAGCACGTGCAGATGTTGCTCCGGCTTGATCAATATCACGAGAGACATGATACACGACCCCTTTCCATTTACTTCCTCTGCAACCACCACCTCCCAGCGCATCTTTTCCGTCGTGTGGAATTTGTTCACTTGCCCTCGTTTGCCGTTGAGGTGGGAAGGGTCGAATAGGCGCCGCCCCCGTACAGGGTCCAAAAGTCATGAAGCGCTTCAGAGTTGTGTGGGTCATCTTTCAGGCGCTTCATCTCCAAATATGACCGTGCACAGCTCGTCGCCAAGCCCCTGTCACCTCCCCTCATCGATCTGTCATGCGAAGTCGTGCTAAGTGGTTGTACACCCTTCAATAGTTGTTCGTGGCACCGAAGATTGCCGCGAAACTACAGATTCTGCCAGGTGGGTGCTGCCCAACTGCACGACAACACTCGTCGTGTGAGAAAAACAAAAATGCGTCACGTTAATGCAAAAGCCGCCTCTCGGCGTTTGGGGTAACAAGAAGTAGTTCTTCTTCTACTGCTGATGTTCATGATGATATTTTCGAGCTTGTTGATGCCATACAGCAATAAAAACGAGGGGATCTTCATCTTCCTTGAGGTGGAGGGGGCGTTCGGAATGTGCACTTTCATACCCAAGCAGCAATCTTCCGGAGCTGCCAGAACTCGAACCAAAAGAAGGTGCTCTCCCACTCGTCCTCCCCTTTCCGAGTGAAGAAGTTCTGCTGGTCTTTTTCCGCCGAGGAACTCAGGCTGGCATCATTCAGAACTTTTTCCTCCCATTCTTCAAACGCGGCCTGCAATTTCTCCACGCGCGCTAGCAAACGTTTCACTTCCACACTCGGACTATCCGTATCTTCGGGGTCAATTTTTACCAAGAAGGCCAATGCTCTGGCGTCTGAGCTAAAGAGCTCTCCCAGTTTTTGTGGTGCTGCTACTGTGCCTCTACTTGCAGGACCGGGAGGAGCACGACTAGAAGAAGACGAGGCGGTAATAGTACTATCTTCGGGGCCAACATCCGGCAGCCGGCAACGAGGTGATTCATGTTCACCTCGTCCTGCTCGCGGGAGCTGTCCGTCTACAACATTTTGTTTCTTGTTGATCCGGGGAAAGCACTTGACATGTCGTATGTAGGAGGGCAACGTGCGATCACGACGAGGACCAGTCGGCGGCGAAGCGTCTACCTCGTGCGCCAGGGAGAGCATTTCGTACGCTTGAAGGAGACTCCGGATTGCCTTCTGCGCTTTTGGCAGGGGCAGTTCCTTTTGGTCGTCTATTCCCTTTGCCCAGTTGCTCGCGATTTCGGTTTGTATAAAAAAACCGTTGAGAAACCCACAGTGCCACAGTCCAATCGCCTGAGGAGGCACCGCCATTCCGCTCAGATTCGCATACGCCGCTGCAAGCTCCTCCTGGGATGGCGTTTCCTGGTACCTGTGGAAATACGTAAGGCGCACGGCGTCCAATAGATGCAGTGGCTTCTGGGGTTCCTCGGATGCGGAGGCGGATGCCGAAGAACCTGCACTGCTCAAGCTCACAGCCCCCACGCCCTGCCCCAGGCAGGAGAGGTGGAACAGGTGGAAACAGTGCATTTTGTTGAACATCTTTATGCAGCCTTTTTACTTTGTTTTACGATACTGCTCTTCTTCCTTGACGAGTACAACAGAACTGAAAAAACTAAACACAATACAACTAACACTAAGCGAAGATAAACGTTGTCGTTGTGCAATGTGGTGGACTACAGGGAAATAGTTTTGAAGAAGAGCTGTTGTATCAGAAAGAAAATCCTCTGCGCTGGCAAAGAACCTCCACGAAAAACAACTTTCCTGTGCTGATTTAGAAGTAGCAGAAGTTTACTTACCGGGAAGCTATATTACTGAAAGAGGAAGCGGGCGAGATGTGGAGGAGGCAGAAAACAAGCCTCCATTTAGCTGTTCTAATTATATTGCCCCAGAGCATCGTCATGTGATGTTGATCATGATTTTTCCTGAACATCATTCGGAACCAGATCAAAAGAATCACCTTCACACATTACAGGCTTACAACTACTTGGATCTTCACGAGGAGCTCGTCATAATTTCGACGCAGTCCTCCATACTTCCACGAAAGTTCGTTGTAGCGGAAGATGATCGTGTGCACATTTATTCCATAGATTTTATTTAAAACTAGCTGAGCCTCAAACCGACCAAATCGGACAACTCTTGGAATGTTTATGTTGGCTTCTTCAATCGATCTCAAGGGCAGAACAGAGCCGTTAGATTTGATGAGACTGCTGCTCGCACTAGACTTTACAAATAATTTTTTGATCATGATTTTATTTATGCTGTCTTCGAACGAACTCGAACTGGACTTACAAATCTGATCCTTTGTGCTGAGCAAGGACCACTTCAGTACTCATCTCCGCTGAAGAAGAGGGGCCAGGAGCAGTTGCCCGATCTGCTCTTGTTTTCATTTTGGCCACGACCAGGAGGCCTAGTAGATCAGGAGCGAGCGAGGAACGCAACCCACGTGGTCCACGCCCAGTGTTCGAGAACACGAACAGCGTTGTAGTTCACACGCAGTAGAAAACAAGTTGTACCCTAACAGATACAGATACAGAGGACTCTTCTGAAAATATGAATTATAGTGTCTCACGTCTCAAAAAGTTCACACTCTTCACACATGCAGCTCTTCCGCAGTTGTATGAAAACGAAAAGGCCTACTTTTGATATGTACCATCACGCCCGAATGAGGCCCATGGTGCTGTTGGACCAACATCAGCATCCATCGCAGGTGGCAGCGCCGCGCTTCCTGCATTTCATATCATTGCAAGAATATTACGAGATTTGAAGATGAAGATGAAGGGCCGAAAGAGGATGAAAGTCGTGATCGTACAAGGGCCCAATCGTGACCAGAGGCAGAGATCATGTAGTTCTTGATCTTGCCTCGTATTACTTAACATCACTTGAACTGCCACTGGTCGTGGAGGAACTGATCGTAATCAACAGTAGCCTTTGCCTTTTCGCTTTGATAAGTTGGCCGTTTTTCCCATGGAAAAAGTGCTTCACTACGTACATCTGTGGGCAAGTAAGATTTGAGTTTCACCTCTCGCTATTTTTGCATGCATGGACCTCTTGCCGCGCGTGGTTTTTTTTTTCTCTCGCAGCACAAGGTGGAAACTTTGGGAGGCCAACATGCAGTCAGTGCTGTCAATGCGACAACAGCAAGAACCTCGTCCTGATGACCCGGTTACAAGAAAAGAGGAGAACAACACAACAAGAAAAGAGAAGAACATCACAACTGAAGCAGTTTTTCAACGACCTTGTTTCCTGTGAGGATACCCATGACATGCGTGCCGGTTGCTCCACCGAATCTGATTTGGTTGAGCCGCTTCAAGAACTGGTCCCCCGCCCCCGCCCCGCCACTTAGATCCGTTGACAGCGACGCTGCCTGGCGAAAGAAACTTCGGCCGAACTATGGCAGTGTCAGGATTGAAATCGTCAAAGTTGAAATAATTTGTCATGCATAAAATGAATACCAGTTGGAACCCCAATTTCCAGGCGGCGCTTGACAAATTTTCGGAGCGCCGGAATCCAATCTGTCATGCTGTATGGGCACAGAAGACTGCTTTTGTCATGCTCTTTTAGCAGCTCTATTTCAAATCCTAAAAAAATAGGCTCACAATCTGCCTCGCTTGCCATCCCGGCAAGACAGGCACCTCACGCCTTGCATTTTATGCGTGGCAAACTATTTCAACTCTGACGATTTCAATCCTGACACTCCCATACGAAAGCGCTGCACCGTAGTTCCAAAGGTGGCGTCGTCAGTTCGGTCGCTGGCAAAAGGTCTTTATGAATTGCAAAAGCATCTTACTAGTAGTAATCGCATCACAAATTTGCTCAGCATGACAAATGGAATTTTTTCTCATGCTGATTTACCTTAAAAAAGAGATTTGTCATGCATACATGCGATTAAGTACTACGAGTACGATACTTTTGCACAGCATAGTCTTCTTCCGCGGACAAAGAGATCCCTCGCTGAAGTTTCCAATCTAGCACCCCCTGCTTCCAAATCGGAGTGTATCGAAAGTAAATTTGATACTCCCGCACACAACGCACAATCAAATGCTGTTTGTGCAGGACAAACCTTAGCTGCTTCAGCCCTAGTTTAGCACGACAAGTTGTAGACCCCAATAAACTGGCGAAATTTGTGATGCATCTTGTGCTACATGTAAGTACGGGACTAAAAATTTGTATTGCATAGAGTGCGTACGATGTCGACAAAGGTCTCGTACAAATCGATATCCAAGAAAAAAACGTTGTTAGTGTAAATTTGTGATGCTCAACATGAAAGATGATTGCGTCTGTCATGCTTGGCATGCATCGCAGGGTCCATTAAAGGGCGTTTTCACGTACTATCTGCGCATGACAGGTTTTTGCTGTCATGTCAGACAAATTTGTAATGCTATTCCTCCAAAAAAGTTACTCCTATATATGCTTTTTTCTTGGATAATCGAAGTGCGTCGTGTAGTGCTGCCGCAAACGTCGGAGCAGGGACTGCATAGTAAAGGAAGAGTTTTTTGAAGCGCCATCTCCGGTACTTTTTGATGTAGTTGTCAGAACGTTATACCACCTCGGCAGCGACATGAGCAACAGAGGATTACTCATCTCGACGAATCCGTTATCAAAGACAGCGGGGTAGGCCCCTAGGTGGTTCCCGTGGTCAGAGAGAAGAAAGATTGCGGTAGAGTTGGCGACAGAACTTCTACGTGTTCCACCACCATCACCAAATATGGTTTGCAAATACCGCAACAAATGCTCATCCATAGTCTCCACAACCGCTCGGGTCACTTCGTGCGCTTCCAAGAACCAGTGGATCGAAACTGCGGGGCGGCGCCGGGTCTGTCGCGGCGGCTTTGGTGATATTTTGTCCTCCGACTCTTGCGTCGATGATGTAGAACTACTGCTGCCCGACCACGCAGACGCAAGTAAAGGAAGAGCTCTACTTGTACTTCTCCTTGCCTTCAGTTCCTCCAAGATCAATTGGTCAAACGAGAAGCCCTTTTCCTCTTGCTCACTTTCCTCAGGACGGGGATCATCCTCCGGACCACTAGCTCTTTGTTCTGCAAGAACTACATCGTCTCGCTCGTACTTGGCCGTGTCCAGTTGAAACTGGTGCGAAAACCTGTCTTGCAGACACCGAATGGTAGCCGAATACACCCTATGAACTGCAAAAGCATCGCACTCGTATAAATGCATTACAAATTCTTGAAATTTCCTCAGCGTGAGAAATAAAAGTTGTAATGCGGATTTGACTTACCAAAAAGATTTGTAATGCCTGATTGCAATACGAATACGATATTACTTATGCACAGGATACACCCCGCCGCTCAAGATATCATACGGGTTTTCCCGGTCCCACAGCTCGGGCTCGGTGCCGAAGGGAGAGGTGATTATCCTCAGCAAAAGCGTCCCTATGAAGGTCCCAGAGTTGTCATGCAAATGTGCTATGACTGGAACATTATGTAATGCGCAAATCCATGAAACGCGTTTTCTATCGTGTTTTGGGATTTGTATTGCTGCAAAGAGGATGAGAAAGTGGCTTTCTCATGCGGCAGCTTCCCTGGCTAACCAGCACTACGCCGCAGATGAAGACTTGTCATGCACAACTCCCAAAACTTGGAGACTTGTGTTGGGATTTCACCAACTTCACTATGGGGTGGAAACGTTTTTACCCACAGTAGTGATTTCGAAAACGTTCGCACCACCGAGATCCGCTTTGAAACGCTTCCGGACTTGCCGGTGTAACGTTCTACTTTTCGATGAGGGTAATAATGACACGGTCTCCGTTTTCCCTGCGTCTTTGTCGAAGTCGGGAAGCAGAATCTTTCATCCTGTGCAAAAAGAATATCGTGCTCGTACTGTAATCGCAAGGAACATGATGCAACACGAGCAAGACAGACCTCCTTGTTCCGGTTGCGGCTCCGAAAAATATCCGACTCGGACTCCGAATCCAATACCAATGACAAATTCGTCCATAATATGCCATGCTCACTATTGCAATTCGAATTACGTACCAGCACGATAAGTTTTTGCAACACATATCCTTTTCCGAATCCAATCGGTCTCGTTCATTTGAGAGCTAATCACGACGGAAGAATTTGCGCTGTGACTCCAAAACACAGGGCACTGCTCGAGGTTGTAGGCAGTTGAGCCGTAGAACATGCCGACGACATTTTGGTAGGTCGCAAACCCGCTTGCCTGGTGTCGCACGAAGTTATGGGAGTGTCAGGTTTGAAATCGACAGAGTTGAAATAATTTACCATGCATAAAATGGATGCCAGTTAGACCTGCAGTTTGTAGTCGGTGCATAACAAATTTTCCCGGTCCTGACAGCGAGTCTGTCATGCGGTTTAGGGCAAAAGAGCTGCCTTCTGTCATGCTAGTCAGCAGTCCAACTTTTGACCCTTACCAGGACTATAATCTACCTCCCTTGCGTCCTCTGCAATAGAGTCACTTTTTGCATCGCATTTTATGCATTACAAGTTTTTTCAACTTTGTCGATTTCAACTCTGACACATCCATAGAAGTCGAAAAGGTGGTACGTGGGCGGCTCTTGATCTTGAAGATTTCTACCCGCTGTATTTGTACTTGGAGATGTAGAAGTGCCGGACTCGGTTTGTTCCATTTGCATTTTCTTCAGAAACTCAAACGACTTGGGAAATTTTCGCACGAACTCGGCCCGCCCAATCGCGTCGATGACGAGGATCAGAATGGGTAAATGGTTGTAGGTCGGGATAGTACCGCCACTCGAAGTAGAAGATGGCGAAGGGGCTCCCGAGGTTTCGCCCGTCCCCGTCCTTGTCGCGCCCGCTGTTGTACCATCGTGCGCTTGCCCGATTGGCGTGTCCGTCGGATCAGCATCTACGTTCCTGTAGTGGTAGAACGGCTGCGTGAAGTGTTGAAACGGCGAGTGGTTACAGGAGACTTTGATGAAGGTTGCTCTTTGAAATTTGGTGGACGACAGGACCAGCGAGATCTTCTGCAATTCTAATTCTGTGCGGCCCCGCCGTGTGCTAGTACTTGCGTAAGCCGTACTTGTTCTACTTGCCTCCACAGTTGTTGTACTCGATGATGATGTTGTACTAGCTTCATGATCCACATTTTCATGCGCGACTGCCAATACAAATTCCAGGATTTCAATCTGCCGCTGAAGCCACTGCTCTGCGTCCACGGAGGACGAGCTGTTCTTCGAATGGGAAGTAGCCCGCTCAGTCAGGTTTGTCAATAAAGCTGTGTCGTTTGCCCTTGTTGTGACTTGGACAAGAAGGGAGAAATCCGGGTGGACAAACGGACGCAGGGCAGTGTGGTTCACCGTCTGCAAGAACATGGAGGTCGCGTTTGCAGCTCCAGCTCCTGTGGAGCTCATTGCGGCCGCTTCTCCGGCGGGATCATCTGCTTGCTCCAAAACAACTGATGTTGCATTTTTTGTGGTATTGCGGCTCGAAGTACTTCCGACCGCATGGCTGTTGTAGGCAGAGATAAAAATAACTGTAGACGTGCTGGTGCCCCCCCTGGTCGCGGCAGGGCTTGATGCTCCGCCGGCTGATACAACCTGCACAAAAACCGGTATAATTTTCGCCTGTCCATCTGAAGTAGATGTCGTCGATTTATATGTGTCCAAATTGAGGACATCCGCACTTGCACCGCCGGAAGTAGATATGTCGTCGCGACTGTTTCGCAGCGTCAAAACCTCCGTGACCTCCCCACCGTGTCGGTAGAGCGCTCCATACAGATTGTGCTCTTCCGCCCGGTCGCTGGGCTGTGGTTCGGTCAAGAAGATGTCGCAAAAGCCATTTGCATCGTTCCTCCCACTCCCTGTCCGAAAGACGGCAGTCCGGGCGAGTAGTTCACGTTGCAACGCGAGCGCCCGCTGTTTCAAGGGGTCCACACCATCAACGACGGAACTGTAGTTGGCTGTTGGGTCACTTGTTACGCTTAGTGTGGTAGAACTAGAAACACTTGCCTGCGCAACAGGATAATTCGCTGCGACTGTACTTGCTGTTCTTGCGGGATTTGCCGAACTTCTGCCCGCGTTTATCAACTCGAAATCCACCAGCAGCACCCGATGCGCACCGGTTTCCGCCGTCCCTTTGATCTCTTTTTTCCTCACAAAAAATCCCAATTTCGATCGATCAACACTGCGACACCTCGTGTCCGAAAACAGAAAGTTCATGCGGAAAGGCACGATCGTTATCCAGGGCGTGGTTTTTCGGACCGTGCAGAAATTTCCATATTGTTCATCGTCGAAGTCTAAGTGCAGCCCGATATGAGAGTGCACAACTCCGTCCCCCTCCCCCTCATTCGTAATGCAAAATACCAAATCTACCTTTTGCCTCCCGGCACTTTTTGCATGACAAGTTCTGGCAGCCCAAATAGCACTGCACTCCTCTGCAAATTTGTCATGTAAAACCTGCATTCTTGTTGCGGACGCCTGTATTGCCGTTCATGCTAAGCAAATAAGGGGGAGGGGGAGTTGTGCAGTGTCATACCCGACGCCTTGCGGCCACAAGTCAACGTAATAGGGTAGTGTGGCCGCATATCCACAGTAAATGTCCCGCACACGTACAAATGCAGTCTCTGCATGACAAAACTTGCCTTCAGTCCTAGTCTAGCATGACAAGTTGGACACTGCAAGTTAGCGAAATTTGTCATGCATTTTGTACATGTACGGGAAATTTACATTGCATACCGCACAGTGGATGGAAAACGGCAAGCAGTAGCAGAAGAGGAAGACGAGAATCCTCCACCGGCAATCTCGGTTTTTCAGATAGAAAGCGCGACGTGACAGAGTTGTGATTAAGTAGTTGAGCAATTCTTTCTTGATGCTTTCAAAAAGTGGCGCGATGAACAATGCCATGGGGCCTGAAAATTAGATTCCACACTTTTGCTCATCCTGTTATTTTTGAATATGTGCATCGAGTTCTTCATAAATATCTGTTTATCTTTTTCTTGAAAGCATGAAGCATCTTCACGTTGCTCTACTTTCTCTATGAGAGTGCACAACTCCCCCTTGCCCTCATTTGTAATGCAAAATACCAAGGCCACGTCTTGCCTTCGAGCACAGTTTGCATGACAAATTTTGGAGCCTCAAACAGTACTACAATCCGTCTGCAGTTTTGTCATGCGGAAGCCACATTGCTGGCGTGGCTTGTGTTGCTGCTCATGCGATTCAAATGAGGGGGAGGGGGAGTTGTGCACTGGCATACTCTCCGTACACGACGACCTACGTGGTCGCCTCTGAAGATTCTTTCCGTTTCCTTATCCTGTGCAAATAAAGTACTGTACTCGTATTGGTATTGCAGTCGTGCATTACAACTTTTTTGCTCAAGGTAAATCCGCATTACAAATTTCATTTCTGACGCTGAGGCGGGAATTTTTTGTCATGCATTTATACGAGTGCGATGCTTTTGCACTGCATATTCCTACGGTTGCAGCGAAATCGGCAAAACGAGTAACAGGCACCCGGCGAGTAGTAGGGTAAAGGCGAGGAAGTTCAGCTTTCCGTGATTTTCGTAGGTCGAGCCGTGGTCTTGCAGCAGAAACATGACGGTGAACTCAAGCAGCCCGAAAGAAAGCAGTACTGCGGCGATGGCTGCTTGGGATAGGCTGTCTGTTGTGGTTTTCACCTTCATAGAAAATTTCTCGAGGAACAGCTGGATCTGGAGCGCGTACCACGACGGGGGACATGATTTTTTATTTTCAAGCCTCCTCTGCTGCCGCTGTGCCTCTGCTAGCGGGTCGGTGTCTACCTCCCGTGGCAGTGGTACGTCTGAGTGCAGCTGCTTGTTGCGGTCGATGGGAGTTGCGGAAGATAATGGCAGCTTCTGTAGGTCTAGGTCTTCTTCTAGTGGATTTCCTTCTCCATTAACCTTCCGCGGTCGTTGTCCTAGTTGTGCGCTTTCATCCTCATTCGAGGTCGCCGAGTGAAATTCCTCTTCGTCCTCTCGTGGCTTTATGTCTTGTTCCTGTGTACTTGGACTGCTTGATGACCACAACTCGACGAAAATATTCCTCTCGTCCTCTTCGTCTGCTGTGGTCCCTGCTAGCGCTATCTGAACCTTTACCTGCTGCGCCTCTACTACAACATCGTCTGGGTCTTGCTTGTGTCGGTTGTTGGCGTTCAAGCTTCTCGCCGTGCAGCTGTGTAGAGGACCTTCTCCCGAAGTAGAAGAACCTCCTGCGGCCATGGTGCTGAGAACCACGCGGCTCTGCTTCATCTGGAGGGATTTTTCCTCGTCCTCTGCAGATGAACTCGACTTTGTTCTGCTACTTTTTCTCCTGTTTCCGCACAAGGTGTTGCAAGAACATGTTGAACTCGTCCTGCTCGGAACAACAAGCAGACCATCTTCACCTCCTCCAACCCTTCCTCTCCACTTCTCCGGCAAACAGACCTCGGCTATTTTCGGCACCACGCACTCGTAGATCAGCGCAGAAAAAACGCCGTGGAAAAGGACCGCAAAGGCAAAAAATCCAAAAAAAAACGCGAACAAAAACCGGAGGTAGAGCTGCTGCAACAGTTCCGTTGACTGCTCGATTTCCTCCCTTGTCCTATGCACTGCAAAAGTATAATCGCACTCTTAACGTCATACCATGCGGTTTGTGATTTAAATTGTGACAGATTTGGGACGGATTTGGGACGGCCAGCTTTTCCTGATTCTGGGCGCCCCAAACCGGTCATATGGCCAAGCCATGGCCGGGCGGGGCGGGACTTGGCGGCAGGGCTAGCGCGCGTGTTTTTAACGTGTTCTACCGCTTGGGCAGAACCTAAAACAAAAGCTGCGAAAGTACGGCCATCATCCCCCACACCATTGCCCGGGGCGTTCCTTTTCACATCTACTTAGGGCGACCCAGGGGAATGAAAGGCCGACGACTGCCGGCTTCCAAGGGCCAACAGATAGCAGCACAGAAAGCTGGCAGATGTAGAATGCAAAGGTAAAGAGGAAGAACGTTGATGGCGGCCCGAAGGGCCGCCGAGCGAAAATTTTCGCCAGTGCCAGGCGCCCACCCAGTAAAAAAATTCGAGACCGACCGAACGGGCAAGGAGAATGTCCCGAGGAGAAAAAAAACGCTTCTGTGAAGACGCAACCTTTCAGATTTTGACGCCAAGCTTTTCAATTTCAAATGGAGGTCATAAACAGGTCCGAATTAGGTCAGAAATCCAGAATGTAAACATAGGGACGGAATTTCTGACCTAATTCTGACCTAATTCGGACCTTTTTCTGACCTCCATTTCAAATTGAGCCGGAGACCATGATCTTCGTCCCAAATTGGGCCAGACCCACTGATCGCGATTTCAAATTGATGATCGCGATGTCAAATTGATGATCGCGATTTCAAATTGGTGATCGCGATTTCAAATTGGTGATCGCGATTTCAAATTGATGATCGCCATTTCAAATGCCTGATCGGCATTTCAAATGGGCGATCTCCATTTCAAATCGCTGATCGCAATTCCAAATCGACGATCTTAATTCCAAAACCCACACCAGGCCACTCCAATCTCTCCCCAGTCCTGTGCCGGTGTATAGGCGTAGCTTGTTTTGGTGCCACACCAAGGCGAGACTCTATCGCGGGGAACCATGGGAGTGCGCTGCGGGGCACAACGGTGGGCCTAATTTGCAATGCCAAAACGAGCTCTGGCTCCCGCAATGCCCGCGCGTGCTCTCGAACAGGAGCGCTGCTTTTTGAAAAACCCTGTCCGTCCCAATATCGTCAACAATTGGTCAACATTCTACTCTGCGCCGGTTGGTACAGCGTTAACGCACTCGTATTGCAATCATGCATTACAAGTTTTTTTCTCAAGCTAAATCCGCACTACAAACTTTATTTCTCATGCTGACGGAATTTGTCATGCATTTATTTTTATACGAGTGCGATACTTTTGCAGTTCATATGTCCCCCCCTCCAACGACAGCCCGTAACAAACGAGGCTGATCTGGAGGTGGAAAAACGCAATTTTGTACTTGTGGTTTTCGTAAAAGTTACAGATTTTTTCAAGAGCTGCGGCGGAGTGAACTTTCAGTGTGCGCAGACGAGTTTGAGTTTGACGAAGTAGCTGCGGCGATGTTCTTACAGTGGACGAAGAAGATGCAGGTTCCACGTGCGGTCGGTTATTCTCTTTGGGATATAATTCGCCTGCACCCGCCGCCTCGGGCGCCACTGAAACGGCTGAAACTTCTTCACTAGAAGGAGTTGATGCCATCTTCACAAACGAAAAATCGTGTCGTTCCAGGAAGGGAGCGTGCTAGTCATATGCTCTAGTACTAGTTGTACGGGCTCCGTCAGTTGTGTATTTCTATTTGTATAACTTCTAAATGGAGGAGTAGCCCCCTCCTGCAAATAGCTACTACATGTAGTATATTTTTACACGACAGCAGTGATTAACACACACCGGCGGAGGCGCAAAGCGAAGGTAAAGTCACTTCGCAGCAGCGGCCAGGTACTACATCAGGAATGCAAATAAATTAAGCCGCGCTCCTTCATGGCTGAAAGAACTTCTACAGTTCCAGCCCTTTAGCTTTGCCGCCGCTCCCAGTCCTCATTGAAGTTTGATCCACTTCTTCATCGCCTCTCTGATCAACTCTCCATATATGCTTCCCTCATACAACCGGAAAGAAAAAAAACGACGAGAAGATTCCTGCGCGCGCAAGACTTAAGACACAGAGACACATCGACCCACGACGAAATACAGAAAAAGACAAGAAAGCTCTTGTTGTGGTGGATTGTCGGATATGGATGACTCATCAAGATTAGTTACAAGATCATGCAGCAGCGGAACCAAAAATGCATGCTGTGACACCAAAGCGGAAAAAGGCTCCACAGAAAATCAAAACCGGACTGTATCAAAAAAAAACGTATCAAAATTATTTCGTTCCCTCCAGCTCATGCTGGAAAGAAATCATCTCGCGGCGTGTCATTTTTTTGCTCTCTCTCTTCAATAGAGAGGTGACATCATTTTCTTAAACAAGACCTCGAAATCGTTATCCCTTCGTTGCTGTGTTCCCAAAATAAACAGAGCATGAAGAGACTTATTGTATGCGAAATATGAAGAGGGTTCTACCAACGCTGGTGGTACTAAATCCTCTAAAAACTATAGCATGAACCATAAACATCAAAACGTAAGTTGCTGTGGCGCTCGTCGCGCTTGAGCGTTTTCGACAAAATGAGAATGAATAGCATCTGGTTTTCAATTACTTTCTTCTTTCTATCATTTTGCAGGGGAAAATAAGTCATCGAAAAAATATATCAATGTTGCGAGGACGAGTCGTTTGCCACGGACCTCGGGTACGGCTGGCTCAGGCGTTTTCGTTCAAACTCGCATTTTTGAAGTTCTTGTTCTTGCAACCATTGAGCATTTTCTGACTCTGATGATGAAAATTCAAATTCTACACTATTCTCAGGAGAAATTCGTGCCCCACACGATAATTCCTGGTGCAGCTTTGACTTGTTCTACCGGGGTACTCAGTCGTGCAACATGTCTTCACTTCTGTCATTTGCGTGAAAACTTCTTGTGCTGTTGGTGGAACACCGGAAAGCATTGCGGTGGAGGTCGCGAGACGTCTTTAAACGCCCCTGTTTTGTCGTTTTGATAAAGATCGATAATCGAAGTTTTCATCGTAAGGCACCATTGCAACTCTCGCACGACCGATAAGGAGCGAACACTTCGCGCTCGGATCTAGTACTGATGGGTCGTGTTTAGAGATGAAGAGTATCGTTCATCCTCGCCTGCACTTCTACCGCTCTTGTTTCCAATTCCAGCGTACATCAAGAACTACAGCACAGTCGTATACATGATGTGTAGCCAAATTTCTCGGGCCCACTGCTCGTGCAATGGTGGTTCTCCTTCTTGACACGATGGCGGTGCCGTCGGGGGTGCAGCTACCACTTCATCGGTCGGTAGGGGCGGTTGACCGGCGCTCGCAGTCGCAACTACGTGGTGTCCACCAGCACCTGCCACGGTCTCGTCGTCCGATGCTGCAGAAGGAATCGACTTGCTCGTACCGGATGAAAATGCAAACCACTTCCGCCTCTCCTCCTCCTTACAGGCTTCCACGAGGCGCTGCCGGAGCAAAATGTTACATCCTGTGCAAAAGTATCGCACTCGTATTGCAATCATGCGTTAGAAATCTTTCATCTCTTAAACTTAATATAAATCAGCATTACAAATTTCATTTCTCATGCTGAGGAAGTTTGTAATTACTACAAGGGTGAACGCGCTCCACTCAGTATGGGGGAAAAAACAAAAATCCAGCAGCTCCGTCGTTCTTCTTTATTTCTTAGCGCAGTAGTACTACTCTTAGGGCCTTGAGCGTCGACCTAAACCTTAGAAAGTCTAAGACCTACTAGTATGCGGCCTGCAGCTGTTTCACTATAAAGAAGTCTTTTTTTCTCGCATCGGATTGAGTTAGGGTAGCAATTTCTTTCTTTCCTTTTCTTTCAGAAGTTTCAGTGTGGGTTTGCTTTCAGTTTTGAACTTTCAACATTTTCGGAACGGGTGCGCGTCACTTTTCTTCTTTGTCATGTAAAAAATGCACCCGTCCGTATCTCTTCTCAGTTGCGTGATGCCTTGGCAAAATTGTCACTGATGCCTCCCCGGTGTGATCGTCGCCGTGCTTGCTTTGCCGCTCTGCCCCTTCGCTTCTGCTTCACGGCTTTTGTCTTGCTGGTGGGCTACTGTGGGTGTGGTACGTAGCCCGACACCCGCCGGATATGTGCCCCGGCGTCTCCTAAAATGCTCCCAACTACTTCTGCCCCTTATCTCAATCCGCTAGCAGTGCCATGATTTTGAGCGCCCCCATTCCTATTAGCGGCTCGACTTATAAAGCAACTTTATTACTCCGTAGGGTCTCCCTAGGGCTCATCACTATGAACGCTACGGATATCTACTTATGCGCATACAATCTACAGGACGGAGCGAGAGGCTACGACGTGCCATATAGTCATAGTGCGTAATTGTAATTACTACAAGGGTGAACGCGCTCCACTCAGTATGGGGGAAAAAACTAAAATCCAGCAGCTCCGTCGTTCTTCTTTATTTCTTAGCGCAGTAGTACTACTCTTAGGGCCTTGAGCGTCGACCTAAACCTTAGAAAGTCCAAGACCTACTAGTATGCGGCCTGCAGCTGTTTCACTATAAAGAAGTCTTTTTTTCTCGCATCGGATTGAGTTAGGGTAGCAATTTCTTTCTTTCCTTTTCTTTCAGAAGTTTCAGTGTGGGTTTGCTTTCAGTTTTGAACTTTCAACATTTTCGGAACGGGTGCGCGTCACTTTTCTTCTTTGTCATGTAAAAAATGCACCCGTCCGTATCTCTTCTCAGTTGCGTGATGCCTTGGCAAAATTGTCACTGATGCCTCCCCGGTGTGATCGTCGCCGTGCTTGCTTTGCCGCTCTGCCCCTTCGCTTCTGCTTCACGGCTTTTGTCTTGCTGGTGGGCTACTGTGGGTGTGGTACGTAGCCCGACACCCGCCGGATATGTGCCCCGGCGTCTCCTAAAATGCTCCCAACTACTTCTGCCCCTTATCTCAATCCGCTAGCAGTGCCATGATTTTGAGCGCCCCCATTCCTATTAGCGGCTCGACTTATAAAGCAACTTTATTACTCCGTAGGGTCTCCCTAGGGCTCATCACTATGAACGCTACGGATATCTACTTATGCGCATACAATCTACAGGACGGAGCGAGAGGCTACGACGTGCCATATAGTCATAGTGCGTAATTGTAATTACTACAAGGGTGAACACGCTCCACTCAGTATGGGGGAAAAAACAAAAATCCAGCAGCTCCGTCGTTCTTCTTTATTTCTTAGCGCAGTAGTACTACTCTTAGGGCCTTGAGCGTCGACCTAAACCTTAGAAAGTCTAAGACCTACTAGTATGCGGCCTGCAGCTGTTTCACTATAAAGAAGTCTCTTTTTCTCGCATCGGATTGAGTTAGGGTAGCAATTTCTTTCTTTCCTTTTCTTTCAGAAATTTCAGTGTGGGTTTGCTTTCAGTTTTGAACTTTCAACATTTTCGGAACGGGTGCGCATCACTTTTCTTCTTTGTCATGTAAAAAATGCACCCGTCCGCATCTCTTCTCAGTTGCGTGATGCCTTGGCAAAATTGTCACTGATGCCTCCCCGGTGTGATCGTCGCCGTGCTTGCTTTGCCACTCTGCCCCTTCGCTGCTGCTTCACGGCTTTTGTCTTGCTGGTGGGCTACTGTGGGCGTGGTACGTAGCCCGACACCCGCCGGATATGTGCCCCGGCGTCTCCTAAAATGCTCCCAACTACTTCTGCCCCTTATCTCAATCCGCTAGCAGTGCCATGATTTTGAGAGCCCCCATTCCTATTAGCGGTGTAGTGCATTTATACGAGTGCGATACTTTTGCAGTTCATATGTTTTCGCAGTCTTTGAAGTCGGCGGGCCGCATTATATATTGATGGCAAGAAGGACCACGCGAAGTGGAGGATGACGACAACCCTTCCGCTGTCGATAAAGTTGCTCGTCCAAGAACTTCTGCGTTAGCTTTCGCTAAAACGGTTGGTGTAGGTACTTTCGTAGGAACTGCTTTGCCATTGCCAAGTCCTCCACCCACCGCACGTCGGGAAAACTCCGAAATATGTTGCACATCACCGCCCGCGCCCCGGATAATCTTTCGGCAAAGCTCGGAAATGTGCTGGACAGCGTCGTCCTCGTCGACTTCCATCGCTGCTGCCTCCTTTTGCTCCTTTCCGCTGGCCAGATGCGATGGACTTGCAGCTTCATCTCCCTGCAGGACCAGAAGCTCGTCCTGCGGTTGCATCAAATCATATTCCCCCGCCCCAGTCGTGCTCCGGCCCCAAGCTGCGTGACACTGCAACTCCGGCGTTAGCAGCATCTGCTCTTGAGTAGAACTACTACTTTTCGAGGTTTTATTCGTGGGAAACGCGGCCGCCGCTGCTGGGTATTCTACTTCACAACTGCGCGGTTGAAATGAATGCGTTTGTCGACGTTCCTGTGCAAAATGAACTTGCTCAACATCCCCAAATCCGGCCTGCTCGGGCACCACCTCGAACTCGAATGATCCGTTACTTATGTTTTGACCTGGATCATTATTCTGCGCACAAGACAACCCTGCTGGTCCTCCAGATGCCAACATCATCATGGCCGCATGAAAATCATGATGCACTTGCTCCCCCTGCGCAGGACCTGCCGTGGCTGCAGCGACCAGTGGCGCCGGTGGCGGCGGCATGGAGACACAGGCACTGATGGCGCCACCGCAAGTGAAAAAATGTTGGCTCTGCTGCGCAGCAGAGCAGGGATCCTGCTGTTGCCCCCGTTGACCAGAAGCCTTATCCGCATGACTGTGGTCGTACAGGTATCACAGGAAAGAGTCGTGTCAGACATTCGTATATTAACGGTGGAATTTTTTGTATTGATTTGATGGCGCATGCTGAAGACAGGCCAAATCCAAATGCAAGCCATGCATAGCAGCCGACCTTCACCTTTGCCATGCACAATCAGATCACAATCCCATTCCCAGAAAATAACCTGTTTCGGCGTGACCGTTAACACTTTTTTCCTTTGATAACAACTGGCTGTGTACCACACTTCGCAACTGGTCTACGAGCGCGTCCGCTGTCGCCAGTAAATGTTTGGCCATTGCTATCACACAGAAAAAACCTAGCGCGTCACAAATAATTGCAATTGTTTTGCATGATAGCCGAACACGAAACACAGGATCGGAATTATGCTCTAACTTTATGCTATGGGGTCCTCCTCCTCGCCCAAGATAGATTTAGATACTTAATTACGTGATGCGCTAGCCTTTTTCTCGTGTCGGATAATCTCCATCTCGTCGTAAGTGCCGTCTGGCGGGAAAAGCAGCAGCTTCGGCAGGATGTCTTTGACCAGCTTGTGTTTCAGGCTGTGCATCTGCTGCGGAAAGTATCGCAAGAAAAATCAGTTTCACTGTGAACTTGTGATGCAGAAAATGGAACACAGAACTACTTGTCTTGCTACACCTGCAAGACGTTGGAGCTTCAGCCGTGTTTTCCATCGGGAAGCGCGCATGACAAATTTTCTGTGTCATGTGTAACAAACTTGTGATGCAGATCTACTTGCAAAACAATCACAGTGAAACACTTTTTTCGTGGAATAGCAAGCTCTTCCCGGCCTCCTCGTTGCAGGTCAGGCCGATGGAGGGAATGAAAAATATCCTGTGCAAAAGTATCGTACTCGTACAAATGCAATTCTTGCATTACAAATATTTTTCTTAAGCTAAATCAGCATGACAAATTTTTTTTGTCATGCGGAGAAAATTTGTAATGCATTTATACGAGTACGATACTTTTGCAGTTCATAAAAAACTGGAGTTGCTGATTCGCCTCCCCCGGGTTGCGCACGGCAACGTAGAATGGTACGTGAAAAACTTGCTCTTGAGTCGGTAGCTGCGCGGGATCTACAACTTCCGGAGCAGGAGCGACCCCCGGCGGGAGATGTACTTGGCGTTGTGAAAAATGGTGGTGGTAGTACTGCAACATTAGCTGAGAATCGACGTCTTGTTGTTGTTGCGTCAGGCCTCTTACTGTTGTAGGCCGGTCGATTTCTCCACCAGATGAGAACAACGGGGGCAAGTGGTGTTGTTGCGGCGGCGGCGGCGGCGCTTCATGATCTCGTCCAGTCTCAGTAACTCGTCTCGCTCTGGAACTAGTAGGTGGCTTTGTCGTAATCTCTTTCATACGACCTCGATTAGCGAACTTGGAGGAACGCGGGGCAAACCGCTGCTGGTGAGGAAGCCTCTGTAGAAGTTCCGTTATGCTGTGCAAAAGTATTGTACTCGTATAAATGCAGGTCCTGCATTACAAGTTTCTTTGTCAAGGCAAATCAGCATTACAAATTTTCTTTCTCATGCTGAGGAAATTTGTAATGCATTTATACGAGTACGATACTTTTGCACAGCATATCCGTGCTGTCGCAGCAACTCCCTGCTTCCGCCTGTTCCTCTTCTCGCACTTCCTCAAGAAAGCAAGCAGCATGATCGTCCTCGTCCACCGAACCTCTTCTATAATCTTCGCCAACGCAGCAGGCGGAGCGGGAAGAGACGAATCGCTGCCGCCCCTGGTCTATGAAATGCAAAAATGTCTGGGTCTGGAAGACTGCATGTTTGTCATGCTTCTCTGGTATGACTCTTACATCTGTCATGCACGTTACACAAGAGCTCCATTTTTCTGTGATGCAGAAACGCTGTCTGTCATGCAGAGAAGGCAACACCTAGAAGCTCAGAAACTTGTCATGCTGAGCCAGCACTTGTGGCCTCATCATGAGACGCCACCCAGCATCACAAGTTTCCAGACCCAGACATTTTTACATTTGATATGGTCTGCTTCTCCTGAGCTCCTGCCAACATCGGCTGCTGCTGCCGCTGCTGCTGTTTCTCGAGCAAAAGCGCAGGGTCGTTGGTCTGCTTCTCGAGCAAATTGAACAAAACTTCCCGGCCATGATGAACTTCCGCAAATCTTCATCGTCGCAAAATCTTCTACAAGGAACTCTCGCAGCACGCGCCGATCTTGCACTACAGCCGCCTCGAACACGTCTCTGCCAGACGCAAAGTAATTCAGGAAAAGGTCGGCGAAGGAAGCGTCTCGAGCCGAGGTTTCAGCTTCCGCGCAGGGGGCTGTCCTTAGTTCATCTGTGCCTGCTCCTACTTTCGGTTTGAGTAGAATACTATTCTGTTCTTGATTTTCAGTAGACCCCGTACTTCTGCTTTCCGGCCGGAGCAATTTCATTCCAAATCGTTTCTGTTTTGCGACCGTCATGCTCAGCTTCACGCTTCCCGCCAGCCAGGTATGCCAGGCTGCGGCCAATGTTGCTGCACAGTTTGTAGTTCCCGAAGTTGTACTAGCACACGCTGCGGCTACTTGGTATGGCGCTCTCAAACGTTGCGCTCTCAACTGTTACGTGAATTTGTGATGCAAGAATGGCAAACGCGAAAGAGGAGACCTAGCGCGTCTTGCATGACAGATTTGGCACAGATTCTCAGCCTGTTTGGCTCTTCGGCAATTTGTCATGCGAAGGAGCTTGATCATCCATGTAGATACTCACGTCAATTTTGCATTACAAATCGTGTAACAGTTGAGAATGTAACATTTGAGAGTCCCATACTTGGTTGCTGACTCTTTGCTCGGATTCCTCATGGGCCATGGAGTACTTGCTGCGCGGTTTGATAGCACAACTGTCCGTCTCGGGCATCTTCGGCTCCAGTTTCAGGACGGAATTGGGATATTTCTTTGTAGCTGGTGCTTTAGCCGCCGGGGCAGCAACAGTCGCGCTTGCTGATGCAGACACGGTTCTTTTTGAGGTCGTGAACATCAAACCGGGAGATGATGAAGTTGTACATCCAGCGGCTGTTCTTGCTGCAGTACTACTACCGGTTGCGGCCTTGTCTGAAGAACTACTGCCCCCGTAACTCTTATCCAGAACACTCGTTAGCCATTGGTCCCATGGCAGAGGACCAGCAGGAGAAGATATTGGCTTAGCAGAAGTTCTTGCACCTCCTAGTCCTGCTGCCGCTCCTGTGTGTTCAGCACCAGAACTATGCCGCTGCAGCCGGCGAAGGTGGGCCTCCGTGAAGTCTTCTTGGCTTTGTCGAAACTGGTATCAAATGCAAATATAGGTTTGGGTCTGGAAGTGCTGTGGAACCTGCCTTGCGTGTCTTGGATCATCCTGTAAAATTTGTCTTGCAGAATTGTAGTCCGAAACATTTGTTTTAAGGAAGTGTTCGAAACATTTGTCATGTTTGAGTGTACTTGCGAGTATGCTCAATCATCGCCGCGCAGGAGCATCACAAGTCTGCAGACCCAGACCTACACCTATTTGCAATGCTAATGCATAACTCGAGGAGCTTTACCACCAGTTCTTCCGCGAATTCGCTGGTTGCGACGTTTTTCTCGATTTCCGAAGAAAAAAGGTTTTTCAGGGAAAAAAGCCTAGCCTTGTGGTCTTCTTTTTGCACCACCTCGTCGTCGTTTTTAACAGCCCCCTCGACGGCCTCCGCCTGCTGGGTCCTCTTCTTCGCACAAGCGGCAAGACGAGGATGATCAGCAGTGTCTTGCGCTAGTAAAGCTCTGAAGCTTTCAGCAGGTGGCAACCCGTACCGGAAGAAAACCTTGTCGTAGAGAAAGTGTTTCAGAAGTTTCTGCGCTTGTTCTCTTCTTCGGGCGGGTTCTTTCGGAATTCCAGCTCCAGGCTCGCCAGAAGTAGAACAACCTTTCCCAACAAGATGAGCATTCTCGTCGTGCAGATAGAGCAACTCGTGGAACAAAACGCTGAGTCTATCCGCAATCAGGGCTTTCGCCATGCGAAACGCCCAAAGTAGCGGGCTCGTGGGAGCAAGAAGAAGCACCTCCTCTTCCGACTGGAGGTCGTGGGGTCCAGCCGTACTAGAATGCTCCTCTGTAGCTGTGCCGCCACACCAGCTGGGATTTTCAGTCCGAAGCGACGCCGTGCGGTGAAGGAAGACCCGATGTCGTTCCACAACCGAATTCAGGAGCCAAGTTGGAACATGCTCCTTTCTTCTCTCCTCGTTGTCTCGAAGTTTCTCCTCTCTCTCGAGAGCTTCCGCGTATGAGCGTGGCGGAGGATGTGGTAATGATCTGGTGGTCCTGCTTGATGTCGTTGTAGAAGTGGTCGCTGTCGCTCCGCTCTCCATCACAATCTTCAGCCACTTCGCGAAAACTGCTTCAAAAGGAGTAGACCACGTTGCTTGTCCATTCATCTTCGCTGGCAGCACATCAGAAGTGGACGACAACGGCGACACGGACGCTTTGTGTGCATAATTAGCTTTTGAGAGCTGCAACAAAGACAGCAAGCTTTTCGGCTGAACATACGTCGACGCCGGTGTTGGCATAGTGGTTTTTTCATCAGGACAAGCCCCACAAAAGAGAATGTTATCGCCCCAGATTTTCGACAACGTCGAAAAATAACTGTTGCTAGTAGTGCATTTGGAGGACGTGGCTACTTCCTGCGTTTCAGTTCTTCGCACGACACCTTGTTCCTTGTGTCGGACGAGTGTTTCTGATGTGGTTTTCGTTTTTTTTGCAGCGCAGCTTTCGCCTTCGTTTTGATCCAATTCACCAGTACAAGCTTCTGCCTCTCTATGGAGAGAAAAAAGTTTGTCACAGTCACTAAGTTGCAGTTTTTGCATTACAAATTTTTTTAGCATCACAACTTCTCCTTGTATTGCAGAAACACTAGGGAAATCCCTTATGAAGTGTGGCTGTGATGCATTTTTACGCATGACAGACAATTTTGTATTGCAAAAATGCCATGAGTGATCGTGAAGAACTTTTTTCTTTTGATACTCTCCTTTCGCATGAAACGGGTGGTCGCCGATGGTGCCAAACCGGCTTGGAGTAGAAGTCCTCGTCGGGGTTCTGTGTCTAGTCGACGCAGCTGGTGCGCTTTGGTTTTTCATTTTACGACCGTCGTCATCAGCGTCGACGTGGTCCATAGAGGAATCAGAAGCTCCTGTGGCTGGAATTGATGTTCTCTGCTCGTGGCTGCTCGCACGACTTGTGGTGCTCAGCAGTAGCTGTGGATCTACGTCTGGGCTTTCTGGAACCACTTTTCCACCCATCGTGCTGCCAGTTCCTGGCGTGCTGGACCAACCGAGACTTGACTGCGACAACAACGACCTGTCCGGTAAAAACATGGTGCTCGGTGTCGGTAGAAGTTGCACTTGCAGCTCTCCGCATGATGGGCCATTAGTTTTGCAACTGTTGTATGGGGTAGTTGTAGAGAATAAAAATCCTCTCGTGGTCGTCCATTTCGTACTATCACCAGGCGTTTTGCTCCGCGCATGCCCGTGCTCCACCTCGACCTCGTTTTCCGAACAGTAGAAAAAGGGCCTCGTTCCTCGATTTTCTGCCCAAAGATGAGACGCGTCCAGGTCGTCTGAATCATCAGCAGGCTCGTCGTCGTGGTCGTGCTGGTCAAAACCCAAAGGCTTTAATTTTTCGAAATCAAAGGTCCGACCGCCGAAATTCAGATAGGGTTTGCATTTGCTGGCACGAAAACCATCCTCATTCGCAGCAGGAGGTGCAGGTGCGGCAGGACCGCGCGGAGCCCCCGAGGTCCCTGTTGCTAGTACAGCAGAACGCGTAATCATGTTCCCACGATCTATCGTAGCAGTTGTCGCACATGGAGTTCTCGAAGAAGCTGCGCCTGCAGCTGCTCCACCAATTTGCATCGCAGCCAAAGCGGCGGGTAGAGACCACTCCTGGTTCCCGTCCACGACTTCGCCTACCCCAGTAGATCTTATTGCGTCCTTATCCTTTTTACGATCTACATCTACAACTTCTACTGGCTGCCTCTCTTCCATTGTGATGGTCTCGCTGGGCTGCAAAGGCAATGGCACCAGCTCTGTGACGAGAGTAGCTGGAGCCACGGTCGTCGTCCTCGACGTTTCAAGAAGTTCAACATCTTCCCGATCCCCGGCTGTTGGTGGTGCTGCATAATTTCCTTTAGAAGTACAACTGCTGTTGATTTCCGGCTCTGGTGCGGGTTCGGAGACTTCGCGCGTCATGGGCGGGAGATCCTCGTCCATTTGGTGGTCCAACACGGAGTCATCCTCAAGGGGAAAAAATGCGTCCTCGTGGAGCTGGTGATGCTGTTCTTTTTGATCTGCCCTCGTCAACATGTTGCGCAAGAGATCTTGGCGCCGCGTTCCTTGGGGAGAACTACCTGATGAAGCTACTCCTCCACCCGCCAAGCTGATTTTGTTCCTTGGACTGGTTTCGTGGCCGCTGGGGAGCTTGACTCTGCTTGTGCTTGTTGGACTAGTTGTACCGGCGCTGGGACTTGTCGTGGTAGGTGGACCTCCTTCTACTCCTTTTTGGTCTACTTCCTGTAGATCGGGTCCATGTTGACCTGCTCCTCCCAGAGATGAACGCGCTTGCGTCATCGTCTTGGCAACAGGAGCTTCTTTTTTGATCTCGACCACTTTCGTCACCCTCGGCGGGAGCTTTGGCTTCCTCTTCGCAGCCGCGCCCTTCTGTGTCGAGTTTGCGATATCAGGCCAGTTTGCATCATCGAATTTGTCAGGGACAACCGTTGCTGCGATTGTTTTCGCGTCCGGGTGTGGTCGCGCCGCAGCCTGGCTGGGCTCTGAAAGAATGGGCGCTGCTCTTTTCCTAGCCACTGTTATCGCCCGCGTGCAAGACAGGTGTGCACTGAAAAGTATCGCAGCTGCAACTGCGACCCGCTGCAGCACACTAGACCGATTTTGCAACATTTTCAGAGGACGATCCCCGTACGACTGCATCGTCATACCCAATTTGCTTTTATCAGCGATTTGCATTTATTTTCAAAAAATCTGAACAATGAAGCACTGCACACAAGAACAGGAATGAATTATGGGGCGAAAAAGTTGTAGAACTCAAGTATCGAAACGGGAACGTTGTATTTAGGGATGTGTGCAGCTGCTTACGAGCGTGCAACTATGTGTCTGTGTATCAACAAATAAGGACGGGAAACATAGAAAAATCTCCGTCAATAATCAGGTCGTCTTGCACAAAATCAAACAAGTAAAATTTCGGATAGAAACAAAATGATGAAACAGGAAAAGCGGGTGTGTTGTCGTGTGCTCCTCCAAATAACAACGCCGTTCAGTGCGAGGTGCGGCAACTCTTTCTCTGCCACCAACAGCTACACTCCAGACAAGCTAGACATCAAAGTTGCTGCTTTAATAAATTTTGGTGGAATATTAGGAGTGCCTAAAAAGCGCTCTGAACAACGTAATTTAGATTATACATACAGCAATACCAATAGATACCATCAAAACCAGAGCTATTTTTTTTTGCTTAATTGTCTTCGATAGAAGGCACTACAGGTCGTGAAGCTATTGAAAGGTCAACCACCTTGGTATTTGGCCTAAATGGAAAACACAGACAGACAGCAATGTGCCATCAAAACAAGAAATTGAAATTCTATCGTATCTTGACTGCAGAAGGAGATTTGTCGTCAAAGGAATAAAATCAGGGCGTTAATACTAGCATGACTCGTACAACTCGGGTTTGCAAGGGCGGGCAGGGTGCGTTGATGTCCACCACGTCCACCAGGAGATAACACTTGTAGTTTGGGTCAGTCGATAGTGAGATCTTCGCAAATGATAATGAAGATGATTTTTTTTTTTGGATTGGAATTCTGCAAAAAATCGAAAAGTTCGAGAGTTCTGCAAAAATCTGAACATCAACATGAAAAAAAAACTTGACAAATAAACATGTTCGTCAAAGATACAACGAGATCTGTCTCCTCCGTGGTAGTTGCAACAATCCTATTTTGTTATGTAGATCTTTCCTTACGCAGGTGGTGAAGGTAAAAATCCTTTCAATCAGGACATGTTTGCTCCGAGAAAAAAATGCCGCTAAATATGGCAGCACGATCTGAGCACCCTGAGCTGATCTTTTTATTTGAGAGCACGGGGGAGAACAGGGCGTGTTTTATCATCATCTCCGTAGTTTAGTACAACTTGTGTCTAAGTTGCAGCTTCAATCCCTTTCTGCTGATGTTCGTTCGGCGTTATTTTTTGCATATATTTTCATAGAGAGCTATAGTTGCAGTAGGGATGTAGTAGAATCAGCATGCAGCAGCTCCGGTCTTCTTTATCTCTTAAGCCTGCAACAACCCAGCTTAATACTTCTGGTCTTCCGTGAACTTCCTACTCCCCGTCCCCACCGCCTCCCGTGTTCTTACTTAGTCCCGCCCTCCGGATCGTTTCAATTTTCGCGCTGGTATCCTCTGCAAAAGTATCGCACTCGTAGTGGTTGCGTGTATGCATTACTTCGTAAGGTAAATCAACATAACAAATTTCACTTGTCATGCAGAAGCAGAGCAAAGTTGTAATGTAATGTAATTACCACTAGTGCAGCAATGCCATGGTCGGTAGTTTTGCAATCCATAGTTCAAGTTGAAAGAAAACTTCCCAACTTTGTCGCCCTGACAGATCATCAACAACCTGCACCCGTCATCGTCGGTCGTTTCCCTCACTGACCGCACCACGACGTCCTCCTCTGTGACCGGCTCTCTCACCGCCTCGGGCACGTCCACGTTCGTCATCTTCGCCCCAATAGCGAACAAGTCCGCATGGTAATACTCGATCACGTATGCAGTGCAAATGTGTCTGGGCCTGGAAGAGTGCAAGTCTGTCATGCTTGTCTGGCATGGCTCGAGAATCTGTGTTGCGTCGGCACGAAAAGGCCCTCTTACCTGTCATGCAAAAACGCAGCTTGCCATGCGTAGCTGCGTATTGTAGTGCGTCTATCATTCACTTTTAGCATTACAAGTTTCCAGACCCAGACATCTTTGCAATCCATATCACGTCCCCATTCCGCGCGTCGAGTTTCACCGCAACACCCTTCGGAATGCCGTGGGAGGAGGTTTTAGAAGAGGTCAAACCATCAGTCGTCGAAGTAGATCCTGTACTAGTGACTCCCGGGAGGTGAATCTTCTCCGACATTTTCGAAAAGAAACTAGTCGCGGTTGCTGCCGTGAAACTCACGACCGGGTTAGCACCGGACGGCAATAGAACGGACGTGGGGGAGGACGCGTGGGTTGTGCTGGACGTTTTGTGGAACAAACTCCTTCCCCCGGCGGAGCTGGTGATTTGCTTCTGGAGAAAGTTCGGGACGAAGGTTTTGAATAAGCTGGTGGGGGACGTTGCAGAGCGGTCGACGATCAAGTGTGGCGCCAAGGAAACCCAGACGGAGGTGAAATGGTTCGGGGAGGAATTGTTCGCGCCGGCCGGTCGATTTTTTCCACCACCACCACTACTGCTATTCGTCGTGCTCCCGATCGTTATTGTCGGCGACAGGGACAGCGGAACGCCGGGTAGTCTGTTATCTAGTGTAAATATGTCTGGGTCCTCTGGAAACTTGTCATGCTGAGCTCCGTAATGCACAGCCAAGCATGAAAAATATTTGCGCGGCTTCGTGTTGCGTTTTCCGCATGACAAACAGTGCGGCTTGCATGACAAGCAAAAGGCTCTCTTCTTGGACACGCATTACAAACTTTTCAGTCATGCCAGACAAGCATGACAAACCTTGCATCTTCCTTCCAGACCCGGACATATTTGCGATTCATATCTGTCCGCAATGACCAACACGATCTCTCTCGTGACCACGTTGAACTTCACAATCCGCAATTTTGAGTATGCAAGAAAACACGCGCGTAACTGTAGCTTTATGTTGCGGACGTTGCAATACAGTTACACTTGTCATGCTGGATGTGCATCAGAGGCTATAATTTTCATACGTGTTTTCGCGTACTAGCTACGCATCACAGGTTCTCGTCTCTGTCATGCAAAACAAATCTGTGATGCTGTTTCTGCAAAAAAGTTACACTTACACACTTTTTGCTTGGATATCGACGCTTCCGCGATCAACAGAAAAGCAGTTTGCTGGTGAATCTTGTGTATCAACTGCAAAAATGTCTGGGTCTGGAAGGATTCAAGGTTTGTCATTCACATTTCGCATGACTCCTGATGTCTGTGATGCATGACCTAGCATCACAGATTTTGTGATGGCTTCCTGATGCCTATACCGCATGAGAAATGCCGTCTCGCCGTCGCAAAAGCTGGGCCTCTTTTGCTGTTCATGCAATACAGATTTTTGTAGAATCCAAATGCAACATCACAAGTTACATCCTTCCAGACCCAGACATTTTTGCATTTGATATTGTGCGCGAGAGACTGGAATAATGTTCCAGTACTCCCCCCGGCCTGCCCCGACTGCCCCTGGGGCCCATGGTGGGGGTCCATTTTTAGCACAGGAGGAGCGTTAAGAACGGCAGTTCCTCCTTGTGTCGCGAATGGGATGCTTGGACTGCTACTTCTCGACTGCGCTGTTGGCGACTGCGCTATCCCGTGATGCTGCAAGACGGCTACCGCTGTTGGGCAATAGAGACCGGACTTCAAAAGTTCCGTCTCCTTCGTCTCATTGTCGTAGCAGAACAGCCTCCCCTTCGGCTGACACCGCGCGATGTCCATGGAGAGGGCCTCTTCGATCGCGTAGGAGCGGTGGAGGGAGGTTGATGATGTGCTGCTATTTTGGGTAGTGGAAGTGGATGTTGCTCCTGACGTAGAGGAAGTTTGGGTTCCACTACTCGAGCTAGTACTTCCATCAGCTTTATTTCCACCTTTTCTCCCTCGATACACCAACCACGGCGTGATATCCTCGCTGCTGTATCCACAAAAAAAGGCCCATCCACATCCAATTTGTCATGCAAATCATGCATGAGCATGTCATGCATAAACTGGATTGGGTGTAGTTTCTTCCTGGATATGCTGTCCGTGAAAAACACATGCCGGTCCGTTGCGCAGATCCCGTTGGCGAATCCGATTTCGTGTCTTATCCCCTCCTGCTCGTCCACCCCGGTAGTTATTTCACCAGCTTCCTGCCCTCAAAAGGTCCAAGTTCCCAAGATGATCTTATTAATATCAGCGATTTTAAAATTTTGACGCCCTCATTGCGCGCAGATGAAACGACGCCCGCCTGCAGGTTTCGTCGCCGGCCACGGAGCATGTCGGAGCACCACCAAAACAGGTTTCGCCGTGTTCATCTTACAAGTTGTTTCGCCCCTGGCTTTCTAAAGTCCGGACTTGTCTAGCTTGGGTAGGAGCCTCAGAAATTCATCCGCAACGATCTAAGATATTTTTGAAGGTCTTTCCTTCCGGGCTCTGTCTAGGTGGAAGCCTTTTGCGCTTCGCCTGTTGCTGTGTAGGTGCGGCCTGCTGATTTGATTCGAATCAATTTCGGGCTCGTCAATTATCTAAGGAAAACTTCTAGGAACTATTGAATTTATTTCTTCGTTTTGTTCTTGATCTGGAGCAACTTGCTCGCGAACAAGCTCTTCCCCTTCCCACTCGGCGACGGCGCGAAGTCGTCGGAAAAGAAGTCCGCAAACATCTTGTCATCGCCGGCCTTAATCCCGTGTTTGTCCTCGTCTTCCGCTAGTTCGGCCGCCGCCGCGATGCGCGCCGCCCCGGCGTTGTTTTTCTGGCGCTTCGCCGCCGGGACCGCAGCCTTGTCGGCGTCCTTCTGCTTCCGGGTCTTCGTCGCCTTCTCGGCCTTGTCGTCGACGCGGTCGGTGCGGTTTTTCTGGTGGATGGCCGAGGTGATGTTCTTCGCGACTGCGGTCAGGCACATCAGCTCATTCTGATCGAGAAACTTCGTTGCGTTGGTCGTGTATTTGTCGATCAAAGTCAGGCTCTCCTCCAACTTCTTGTCCGTGTCATTCAGCATGTCCTTGAACGAGTACTTCACCAGCTCCCGCAACTTGGACATAGCAACTCCAGCATCCGAGAACAACCCGTACCCCATCACCCGGTCGAACGCGGTCCGAAAGATGGTGTCCACCCTATGCAATGGAAAAACGGGCCCACAAAACGAGACAAGGACGGCTCTCTTTCATTAAAACGGAATCCGGCATGCAAGTAGCGGCCGCGAGATGTAATTTGTGGGCACATTGTTCCTGAGATAGGCCGCCTCCAGCTTCGCCTCCTCGCCAGCCTGGATCGCTTCCTCGTCGAGCTCTTCCGTAGTGTACCGGAGATACGCTATGCAGCGGGCCGCCCGCTGGTAATCGTCCGATCCCTTGGCGAAGACCTGCAGTGCGATCTCCAGGTTGTCCCGGATCGCGCGGTTGCTGTTTTTTGTCGTTTTATTGGAATGGCTGCCCACCCTTGCCATAGTTGCAAGAGAAACACAAAGCGAAAAGAGAAGCGCACACACTAAAATCGAAGCACATGAAACGGCTGAAAGATTACAAAAGGGCGCGCTGCGTCGCCGGCTGCGTTCCCATGCGCATTTCCTGGGTGCAAAAGCAGGGCGCCAAGCCTACGGGCTTTTGATCTGCGCCGCGCCAATCACCATCACACGGAAACAGCTACCAGCCCCGACCGCCCCAGGCCGTGCCAAAGTCGGCGGGCTTTTGCTAAGAAAGGCGGCGCGCTTGTGTCACCCAGCGACCAGCACTGGCCCCGGCCGACCGCTAGGTCTTTCGAGCCGAGCGCCGGGCGGTATTATCAAGAAGGTGCTGCGAGAAGCTACCACGCTGTGAATGCTAAGTAGCTATACCTTGCCCGGCTCAGGAACTCCTGCATGCTCCTCGTGTAGTCCAGGACCTGCTCGATGGAATCGCGGACCCCCTTCAGAGCCTCCTCGGCGCGCGCTTTCAGGAGCTGGCACACCTTATCGTGGAACGTCGTGTACTCCGCCTTCGCCTTCGGAATTTTGAATACCGCCTCCTTCGCCTCGAGCAACTCCTTGCACTTGAACCCGGTCGGAAAGCTGAGCTTGATCCCGCTGTTCATGAGATAGGAGGGTCCCACCAGGTGTCCCTCGACTTCGATGTCGTACTCGCTGAGAATCATCCGGATCCCCTCCACCCCGGTCTTTATCGGCTCCTGCTCGTCCACCCCGGTAGTTCTTTCACCAGCTTCCTGCCCCCGCCGCCTGCAACAACTACGACGTTCTACGCAATTTAGAAACTTCACCTCCTTTTTGTTAAAATCCAGCTCCACTAATCCCCTGGTCGCGTCCGTAGCGTACAGGCAGTCGGGGGATTTGTAGATTTTCTGGTACTTGATTTTCGAACTTGGGGAAAATTGCTCCTGCGATTTCAAATACTTCGGCGCGAAATTCATGATCCTCCCGCCCGTGTAAAATCCTCTTGTGGTGGAGAAATCGTTGTCCGTGCCGATTTCCACGGATGAATCTGGGTCGGGTTTATCCGCGACAGGATTTTTAACTTCGTTGTGGTGCGGTAGGAAAAACTCATGGACTGACCCGAAATTGTCTGCAACAACCACCGTTTTTCGTTTCGATTTGTCATGGTAGACCGGGAAGTCGGACAAGGCGAGCTTGCTGCTGTTGCTCGCCAAGTGGTCCTCCGGATTGATCTTCGACGTTGTAATTTGGTGCACGACTGCGTTGGAAGTGGAGGGGAGCTTCTTCTGCGGCGTTGCATTCGCTACCAGGCGTTGCTGCTTCTGCTCCGGCAGAGGGAGCTGGGAGAGAAGGACGTCTTCGGTGAGCGGCGGGTAGAAGTTGTTTAATATCCCCTCATCCTCATTTTCAGCATCCGGGGACCGCGATCTGAGCGCCAAGGCGCCATAGCCGAGTCTACTGGTACTATCGTTTTGATGATCACCATTACTTTCATCTCGCAGTTGAAAGCTTTTTTCCTTGTCCCCGGCGAAATCTAGTTCCCCACCAAGATTCGAGGGCGAAATCCCTTTCCTTTCCGCAGAGGAAGTTCGCTTTTTCACGATGAATTCAAACCCCGCGCTGTTCTCTTTTTCGACTTTTTCTCCGAACCTCGATTTTGTCGCGGGACAGTGCAGGGTCTCCATGCAGGACGGGGCGCTCCAGTATAGTGGGACAGTAGAAGAGGATGTCGACGAACTACCACTGCTGGTGCGAGAGGAGCTACCCTGCTTTTCGAACAACACGACCGACTCCCTGGCGTGGGAACACACCGCGGTGATGCTGGTCGGGATTCTGTGGCGAGAGAGTATGGAGCTCTCAAGCGTTACACTCATCTCAACTGTTGCATGATTTGTCATGCAAAATGACCATGAGCCGCCAGCCGCCCAGACGATGAAGCTGCTTCGCATGACAAATTATCGGAGGGCTAAATAATAGCACTAGAATCCGCGCCAAATCTGTAATGCAAGACGCGCAAGGCTCTCCCTCTGACCTGTGCTATTCTTGCATTAGAAATTCATGTATACAGTTGAGAATGTAACGTAGTTTGAGAACCCCATAGAGAGATCCGAGGGCGTCGGCCCTATCGCTGTGGACAGTTTCGTGCTCAAGCTGGTTGCGCCGGGGGGACGACCGGGTGCTTGTTGCTGATCTACCGTGCTGCCTAAATCTAATTTCGTTGTAGAAGCAGGCATAGTTGTAGTTGATGCACCACCCGGGTTCGTTCTCATCGCGGTCGCTAACACGATCGGATCCCCCTCGCTCAATCCATAGTCACCTCCAATGGATTTTTTCGAGAAGTAGTTTGATGGTGAGTGCTGTGCATGGTCCTCGTCCCCGCCGCCCGCATTCAGCTCCGCAAACCCCTGCAGCAGCGCGTCCCGGCCCTTTTCCAAGCCCTGCATCAGAGATTGAAAAGAAGACGCGAGGGGGGAGGTTGCGCTGGGTGCGGCCTGTAGTGATTCCCCTTCCCCTTGCTCATGCTCCCCATCTGCTGTCAGCGCAAAGCTTTTCAAAGGTCGTGGTAAAGAACCCCTTTCGTGGTCCCCACTCGGCATCAACCCCGGCGGTACCGGCGGCGACTCAATCGCCAGTGCCGCCGCGCTCTTCGCTGGCGCGACTTGGGGCGTGCGCCGTGGGGTTGGGTCGGAAGCTACTTGTACGGGAGCAAAGCTCGCGTGATCTGTAGCATGATGGTCAACTACGTGGTCTTCTGTAGCACGACCAGAAATTGTGGGGCTAGTTCCTGTTGTTCCGCCCACCGCCTGTTCCAATCGCTTTGTTCTGTTCTGCGCTTCTATGGCGGAGGGTTTGGAGGATTCTTTTCGCAAATTCTCCTGGTGCTGCTGCGCGTAAATCTCTTTCGCAACTTGGTAGAGATGGCTGTGCTCCGGGTCGAAATCCGAATTCCACTCGCCATGCAGGTACAGATGCAGATCGCGGGGGAGGTCCGCGTCGGGATCTTGATCCGCCAAGGCGATAGCAGGATCTAGTACTGCTCCGGTCGTTGCCGAGGCGGATGTTGAAGAACCACCAGCTGAGGAGGTCGCTTGTTGTTCTCCTGTGGCAGTAGTCGCAGACCACCAGTCTGGTCGGTAGTTGTCGTAGACAACCTCCTTCATTTTTTTCTTTGTTTTGTATTTCTTTACTCAGATCAAACACATCTTGATCTTTTTTCACAGGTGATGAACATGTACATGCGTTAGAACGAACATGACACTCAGATTTTTATTCTCTCGTCGCTCGTCTCTGATCAACAGGTATTAAATTCTCACGCTGCAGCACCAAAAGCCTGCTCAAAGTAAGTCTATTCTACCTCGTCCGTCCACGACGATGAAACTACAAACCCAACACGTATTCTTTCAGCACATACGAACCCAGTGGTTGTAGAGACGTGGTTTCTTTGCGTTTGCGCATGTGTAGTAGAGCCGCCCTTAAGCGAGCGGTAAAGTGCGTAGTGCTATTTCTTCTCCAATAGCAACTTTCTAAATTTTGTTCATCTCGATTGTCGGATGGATTTTTCCTCGGCATTTTCCTGCCTGCTCATCACTTCTTTCACGACAAGTTCAAGCTCTTCTTCTTCAGGATAAAAAAGTAAAAAATCATACACGATTGCTCTTCAATCCAGCACCCTACAAATACGATTTGGACGGGCTGCATGATGTCCGTCGTTTCATCTCCTCGATCAAAATACTACCCGCCTCACCACAGCAATAAAATGTAGTCAAGTGATCTTTCAGAAAAACTACATAAAGCTGCTCAGCTTCTTTCATCCGACTCAAGCATGCATTGATTTCTTTCCCGCAAAACAAAGGGAACAAAACATCAAAGCTGTTGGAGAGCCGCTTTTCCTTTACAACAAAATCGCGCGGTAGCGCGTTGCTTAGGGCTCACTAGTAGGCTCTGCTTTCGTGCTGCATTGAGCAGAGTCGCCTCTGCTCCTCCACAAGCAGCTTGTGCAACATTTTAAAGGATTATAGAAATAGAAAACCTGAAGAAGCGGCCTGTAAACAAAAAAAAATGGATGGAGTACTGTAGTGCTACTCAATCACTAAGGAGAAGTACGGAAAAAACATCAGCATTATAATACTGATTCGTACTCGCGTAGCCTAGTTGTATCTATAGGTAAATGAAGGATCACTTTCGTCTGTGTTCCATGAGAGATCTTCAACGAGGACCTAATACCGATACTGCTGCTCGGTCTTCCCCTTTTTCGAAAATATCTGCATGAGGTCCGACGCCGTGCGGTGCTGATGTGCTACGAAAGTTGGCCGAACAACCTTATCGCTAGAAGAATCCGCACGAGTACTAGTTGTAGGTGTCACCACAAATGACGCAGTGAACGCATCGGACCAGAACATCCCATCATCGGCAGCCGGGTAATTCAGCTCCTGGCCTTTCTTCAGCCCACCCCGCTTGTTCTGTATCTTCTCCCGTCTTTGTAAGTATTCGGCTTTGTCAAACAGATGTTGGCCCGACACGCCTTTGCTCTTACCTGGGATCATAAGAGCACCAAGCTCCCACTGGAGTTCCAGTTTCACCGCAGTCAGTTGGTACCGCTTATTTTGTGCCGGGCAAGAAACTCGCTTCTATTGTGAGGAAAAACGCCCCCTCCCCATATCGTAAAGGTACGACGTAGCAGAAAATCTGCCATGCTGATTTGCGACCACAAATCATCTCTGTCTTGCAAGAAGGCAACTCCACAGGCTCCGCCGCTTCATGCAGGCGATTTGTGATGCTGTTGGGCCTACAGCGCAGACATTTCTCTTGCTAAGAGCCTAGCCCAAAACCTCTCTGCTCAGGTTTGATATGGGCCTGCAGTCCTCTCCAGCAAGACAAATCGGATTTGTGTACGCAAATCCAGCATCACAAACTTCGTTTTGATATGGGGTGGGGGGATTTTTCATTTTGATAGCTTCGGTGTCGGTTTCACACGCTGCCCAAACTGCATGTGGTTCCTGCCCGACGTGAAGTCCACAGCCGGATTCTGCAGAAAGTACTCCGCGGAATGCCGTTTGTGGTCCGGAATGGCTTGAATTTGTTCCACCATTTTTGCATGCTTCTCGTCTTCCAGAAAGACCAGCTGCAACTTGGCCAGCAGAAACTCCGGGGCACCACCATTATATGATGAGAAATTGTCTTGCTCGCGGTATAGAATCACTTCGAAAGACGCGGAGGACGACGGCTCCACGGCGATCACTTCCCACTTCTGAAGACTTTGACTTTCCTCGCCTCCCTCGACCTCCGCTGAAGGACTTCTAGAGAGCATGTGATCCCAGGGCCCCTCGCCCTCGTCGTCTCCCTCGCGCAGACGTGTGGCCTTCATCTGGCTCTTCACTTGGTCCAGAAGGAGCTCAAACCCGGATTGCACAAGGTCCATGCTCTTGGTTGTAGCGCCGTTTATTTTACGCGAAGCTGCAGCTTGAGATAGTTGCTGCACAACAAGGTCCTCTTTCGCACTGTATTGCAGGACAAAGTGGTCAGTCCCAACTTGGTCGTAATGCAAAGCGAAGACATGGTCCTCCAGATTCCTCTCGATTTTGTCCTGCAACTCGCGAAGGAAAGACAAGATCGGTTGCTGGTACCACCTCGAAGACATCTGCCTGAGTTTCTGCACGACAGTCTTGGGCAAAACGGCAAGCCGTTCCAACTCTTCTAACAGCTCATCGTTTGCATCACTGGTGTTGCTCAGCACTTCGAAGTCCGAAGAGGCAGAGGAAATCGAAATAACCTCCGGCTCTTCATCCGGCGCAGCAGACGACGGCATGGCGAATGAAAACGACGACAAGGACCCTTCTTGTTCCAACACTTGCTCCAATCTTTTGTGCCAGTCTTCCAGCCTCTGCAACAGCTGCCCAGAGGCGTGCTCAGCATCGTAGGTGCGCCGCCATTCGGAGGTCAATTGCAGGTTGCCAAGTAAAGGAACTCGGTCGGCCTCTCCGTTCAAAATCAAGTGCTTCAAAATCTCCTCGCCGATAGTAGAAGAGGTGGCGCTCCTACCACCTCCAATCATTTCGTTTCCTACTAGTACCCCATCCCGCACCTCTTTCAGCGCCTTCCAGATGCTAAATGCGTAGCCCAAGCGGGTGTCCTGAACCAAACCTTCCCTATCGGTTTCGCAGCGGTGCTATCAAATGTAAAAATGTCTGGGTCTTGAAGAATTCATGTTTGTCGTGCTTGTTTGGCATGACTCTTAAATCTGTCATGCACATTGACAAAGCGCCCCACTTTTCTGTCATGCAGAAACGTAGTTTGTCATGCAGAATAGGCAACACCTAGAAGCTCAGAAACTTGTCATGCTGAGCCAGCAATTGTGGCCTCCTCATGATATGCCACAAAGCATCACAAGTTTCCAGACCCAGACATTTTTACACTTGATAGGTGCCTCCAAAGATCTACAACAGCGGGATGGGTCCGGAAGGAGAAGAGGTCATGGATTTCACTCAGGTTGTGCATAATCATGCGCGCTGGCGGCTTGGGACGACTACTTGCACGCGCCGGCGTTGAGGAGACTCTTGTGCGACTATCTTGTTGACCTCCACTTGCGCGAAGATCATTTCCACCGAAATCCACATCCGGTCGCTTCATCTCCTCTCCTGATCCTGCAGCTGGTGCCCAACACAACCGGATAATGTCATTAAGCGAAGGTGGCTTCAGTGTCCCCTTCCCGTCGACGTCACGTCCAACTTTTCCTGCCAGAATTTCCTCTTCATCGGCGTACGCCAGGGACGCCTGGCCCCGCTGTGGTCCCTTTCTCCCTTTCTCGTCCGGGGCAGCTGCAAGTTCCATATCTTGATCTTTCCGTTCGAAAAAGTCGGTCTCAAACAGCTGCAAGAGCGTGCGGTCATTCTTTGCTCGCAGCTTATCGAGGATATTTTTAGCAGCGAGGACGGCTTGATGTTTCATATTCACACCAGTTGTTGTAGGTCTGGTGCTAGTACTTTTTTTCTGCACTGGAGCTGCCCCTCCTGCTGTTCTCTCAGTTGTTTTCAAGAGCTTGTTCCCTTGGTGGGCTTCTACCATGAGGGTCTTCATGATTTCCTTCGCCATGTCCGCTAGATAGTCCCTCACTGCGTTGTTCCGATGTTCGTATACGTATTGCAAGTGGTCGTTATACTCGAATAGTTGGTCCTTCCTGTGTGCCTTCGGGCCGTAGTTCTTGTACCAGTGTGTCACGCGGAGATTGTGACCATGGTAGTACTGACTCTGGTCGAACTAGTCGGCCAGTTGTTGCTGGCTGGTTTTGTGCGCAAGGCCCGGCTGGTAATTATACGCAAAAGGCTGCTGCTCCTCATGCAGTGGCTCCCCCTCGCCGCGGCTCTGGAAGAGTGGGCTAAAGGTGAAGAGGTTGCTGAGCTGTTCGGCGATTGATGTTGCTACAGCCGCGCTCCTGCCCGTCGAAGACGAACGAGAGCGGGACGAGAGTGATCTTTCTCCCCGGCAGGAAGAGGAAGACCGGGAGCAACGTCTTGCTCCATTTGCAGTTCTTCGGGATGAACTGCTACTACGGGAGCTCCTACTGCTGCTCCTACTTCGACTCTTGCTGCGAGCGGGCGAAGCGAGGCCACCACCAACCGACGCGGTCGGCGTCGGAGGAGATGACGCGGAAGATTTTGTCGCTGACGCTGCTGGCGTGGACGAGATGGAGTCGACCATAACATATTCCTCGTCAGAGCTGCTGCCCCTGCCACCGCGGCCGTCTTTTGGTGTAGTAATTTCTGGCTTGGCGTCGAGCTTGGGGCTGCTGGCCTTGGGACCGACGGGGGTCAGCTTTTGGTTTTTCAACGGTAGGATCTTGCCCCGCTTCTTGGGAGCTGGCTCAACACCTTGTGCTGGTTTTCCTGGCAACCCGGCACCCACGGACGCTTGTGGAAGAGTAAGATGGTCTTTTGGATGACCAAGCACTTCTGGAACAATCTGCCCTGCGTCCGCATGTAAGTTCGGGCGGAGCAGCTCCCCCGATGAGACTTCTCCTACGTCGGTGCGGACACGAGCTTGGCCCTGGTCGTTTCCTGCATAGGAGGTGGGCGCGTCAGCATAACTCCCAATCGCTCTCGCAGTGACCCCCGTTGCGAAGAGGCCTCCAGTGGGAGAAGAAGAAATGTTGCCGTCTTGATGAAGGAAACAAGGAGACAAGACGTCCGCGGCAAGCAGAAGACGACAAGCCAGCTTGAGATTGGGTGGTAGAGTCCGCATCTTGTCGTGACGACCAGGACCACCGGAAACAGCTGCTCCACAAGACGAGATCGTTGCTTGGCTTGGTGCAATGTTGGAAAACGCCGACATACTGTCTCAATCCTCTTGGAAGGAAAACTTTTGTAGAAATTCCAATGAATTCTATTTCTTCGGAAAAACTTAATCGAATAAGAAAATCAGAACGAACGCGGTGAGTTGTACTAATCTCCTTTCCTTCAATGCGAGAAACCGAATGTTGCTGACTTCGAGAAGTAAAGCGCTTTGTTTCTTTGTTTCAAATGGATGTAAATGCGAGTCGATGATTCGTTTAATCAAGAAAACTTTGAATTTGTTCGTGTTTATTGTTTCAACTACAAAGGAAAACTTGGAAAAAAAATCGTCACGGTGAATTCACCAAACGGGCTGAGAATGGTCAGAAATAAATGAGTCAATTGTCATGTAGTTTTCCTCGAACAATACTACGCCCATCGCCGAACAGATCAAAATTTCTCCCAGGGGGTGTTCGATCCAAATTTGTGATCATCAACGAGATCCTCGTTTTAGAGAACTCGTCGTGCATTTTGCAACAGAAGATCCATTTTCATCTTCATCAACAAAGCCGAAACCTTTCAGAGATTGAGCCCTCGAGCAGTACTAGTAGCCTCTGCTTTGATGCAGCAGATCATGAGCCTCGTGTGCTGGTACCGAAACTGCAAGAAAAATCACGCGCGATATGTCAAGGGGTTCTTCCGCATCGAACTCAAAGGCGGCCAGGGCTATGGACTGGCACATGCCATGATTCTTGAGCCGACACATCAAAGAAAACTAAACAGACACATGGATCAGACAAAGCTCCTAAAGCTGCGAAGAAGAACAGTGCTATTTGCCCAATCACGCGGAATAGATGTCGCTCCTGCCGGATGAGTTTGAATTCTACCTATATGATTCGAACGTAAATTGTTGGTCTTGACTTCATTCAACATTATCTCCGCCCAATTATATCCATCAAGAGCTGGAACAGAGAAAAAAATTAAGATGCCAAAATGGGTGAAAGTGTAAATGTTGAAAACGTCAAGTACTTTGACCCGGTACTAGCGACTACTTATTTACCGGGTGGTCTAGTGATCTTTCGAAGAAAAACCTGAAAGGAAGATGATTGACCAAGATAGCGGAAAACGATCAACATGAGAAAAACGATCCAAGTCAAGAAAGTGTAAAAAAAAAAGCGGTGAGAGATGATTCCTTATGTCATGTGGTCATTAGCTGCTAGTTGTAAAAGTAAAAACGATATAGACGTAGTACGGGGATCGAACAACAGCGAGCTCTCTTTTGAGAAATGAAGAACAAATAGGGATGTATTGTATAGCGGGCGAGGGAGCCTTTACGCCATAACCAGCCGTTGTTGTCGAGCGTGCTTCGGGGCCATCCGACGGGAAAGGAAGGAGCTGGACTTGGACCGCACCGCGGAATCAAGAGCATCACGCAGAGGACCATCCTGCAATTTTCTCACGAGGTCGGGCAGACCTGCACCGATTGCAAGAGAAACACGCAAAGGACCAGGTGGCGCGGCCGTCACAAAAGCGGACAGACCAGAAAATGATGTGTCTTCATCGGCGCGGCCGCGTGGTTCTTGTTTGAGATGATTTAGGGCAAGACTGGTTCCGATTTCCCGCAGTTTGTTCAGGTCGTTGTTTACGTCCTCAGGCTTCTTAACATCGTACCAATACGTGTGCATCGGCTCATAAAGTGGGCGGGCGCCTGCTGAGGTGCCTGCTTCTGATACTTGCTCTATGAGCGTGTCTAGCGTTTCTCCGACCTTCGTCGCCATCGACTCAAGGGCTGGGCGCGCGTGCGTCTCGAGAAAAGTTTTTCCGTCTTTTTTGATTGCGCTCTTAAGCGCCTTATCCGCGTCCCCCATCTTTCCCTTTCCTAGGGCGTCGCGAAGGGAACGATTTGGATCATCATCAGAATCGTCACTTGCTGAGGTGGTTGTCACTTTATTTGCAATCTTTTTTGTTTTTCCGGTACAAGAAGCCGGAGGCAGCACGGACACGAACGACAAAACGACCGCCACTGCCAACATCTGCGTATACCTCTTAGTATGGGTCCTCTGCGGTTTACGCTTATTCCGATTTTCTTTCAGAACAGCTGGGCGACGTCGCGTGCTTCGGTAACAAGCTCGGGTCCTTCGACAACAGGCGTAGAGCGACGAGACGATGAGCGGCGAAATTATGAAGCTCTTCGTGTACTTCTTATCAGCCGCAACTGCAGCAGGGTACGTGACTTGGAGCGGACCAGGATGGCAGCAAGATAAATCTTCGACTTTGGAACTGCTCGCAGAATGTAGTTTCACCGACGTGTTGTAGAACGATCCAGACTAGCAGAGACCGCAGACCACGTGGAAGTCGGCAGTCAACATCCGTAGAGGTACTTCTTGCAACACTTGGGTCCTCAAAAGTCAATAGCGTCTCTGATTGAAAACTACGGCGGATACTTTTTGTTTAGGCTTCTGGGTGGGGTTGCTCGTTGTTGGCACATATATCAAATCAAATAGACAAATCTTTACTACTCAGGTACTATCGATATCTTTGCCAGCAGCAACAAGTCCTGTGTAGTTAGTTTAGCTCGAAGCTCTTTCAAATTTTAAACCTACCGATCCCTTCTGCCATTTCAACATAAGCGAAAAAGAAAATTGTGAACGTCACGAGGTGGTAATACGTAGTACGAAAAGTGCTTTTAGTAACGTTCACGAAGCAATAGTGACGAAAAACTGAAAAACCGACATCGAGGAAGTGGAAGACAGAGTCCATCATGACCGACGAGAAGGTTTGTATTGTTGACGTACCCTTGTAGGTGGCACGACGGCGACGATAAACTCAATTCCGAAATGTTCCACAAAAGGAAGCGCGAATAAAGCGAACGAAAATAAACCGAATTGAATTACATACCATAGGCCAAGCTGTATTGAAGATACCGACACGCTGTATAGGAAAAATACTTTATGCTTCCGACATTCATTTAGAAAAGAGAGAGACAGCGAACGCAGCAATGGTACCAAAATCTCTGATAGTACTTACGTGATTGTACCGAATTCGACAGCGCTGCTCAATCTCAACTAAACAAAAATTTGGGCTAAAGTGACGATTAACCAAATTCGAAAAGATGATTTAACCTAAGCCACGACACCGATTCTCGGCTAGGACAGAAGTTGCGCACACGAAGATACCGAAAAATGTAAATGGCAATTGTCGCAGAAGCTCCTTGTCAACATGATGAACATCACATGACGCCGGCTCGCCGTCGTCAGACGAGCAGGAGGAATAAATTCGCCCTGTGGGCAGCTTGGATATCAGAGGTAGTTCGACGAGGTTTTATAGCTGTGGCAGCGGTTATTTCGCGGTGTACAAAAGAGGAAAATCCTTGTTGCGCCAGGGGTCGCGTTTTTTGCAGCAAGATGCATATGCTCCTGCTTACAGTGGGCGTTTAGTTTTATCGCACGAAAAAAATATATCATACTCATATTCACGCGAATTCAACCATGAAAAATTGTCATTTTTTTGGAAAAAGCGCAACATTTTTGTCGAAAAACTCAAGTATTTCATCAGCGATTTTTTTTTTCCGGCGACGAATTTGCGGGGTTTGGAGGTAAGACCTGGAGTATTTTTTTTGGATGAGAAATATGCTACGCTATGAGTTGGCTGCTTGTAGTAGTTTAACTAGCTAGAAGGAGGCGGCTGGCACGGATGCTCCCGCTGCTCTTGTCCAGACCTTGCTCTTCGTCATGATGCTCCTCGGCCCCACCTGGGGCCGAAGGCGACGATTCCGACGGAGTGGATGTGGCCAGCAGCGTTCCCGGATATGCGGCACCTAACCGCCTCCTAATAGCTAGTTAAACTACTACAAGCAGCCAAAATAGATAGATGCAAGATCCATGCCATTCCATCATCAAAACAAAACAAGGTACCTGACTCTGCCGGACACCGCGAAGATTTTTGAAAAATCAAAAATTGAAAAAAATGCGTTTTTTGGACTTTTTTCGGTCCGGTATGAGTATGATATATTTTTTTGGTGCGATAAGTTTTGTCTCATTCACATTGTATATGATTATTTCTTCTTAAACCCCTCCCTGACCTCCTTCAACATTTCCGCAAAGGCCTCCGAAAATTTCATTTCCTCTTCGTCCACCTCCTCCCCTTTCTCGAACGCCTCCCGCGCCAGCGTCTCCGGGTCTTTCGGCAGGTCGTTTTTCGTTTTCACGACAAGTTCGTGGTTCATGTCGCCCAACTCGTACATTTCGTCGGCATGCGGGTTATGCACTGCAAAAGCATCGTACTCGTATTTCGATCATACATTACAAAGCTTTTTCTTAACGTCAATCCGCATCACAAATTTTATTTGTCATGCTGAGGAAATTTGTAGTGCAGTCATACGAGTACGATACTTTTGCACAGGATACGGGTCATTGGCGAACAGGTCGTGCTGGTCGCGAATGGTCCCGAGGTCCACGTCGAACCGCATCCCGTCGAGCGTCTGCAGCTCCACGCTGCCATCGTCGTAGACAAACAAGGTCCCGACGTCGTTCTGGGTGTTGGCGTAGCGCTGGTAAAACGCGGACGAAGCAAACGGGATGTTCATCGGAGTGACCATGTGTGTCCACTCGTTCAAATCATTGTCGGCAACAGTGGTGTATCCTGTGCAAAAGTATCGTGCTGGTGCATGTAGTAATCCCATTCATGCATTACAAATTTCTTTCTCAAGTAAAATCCGCATTTATTTCTCATGCTGAGGAAATTTGTATTGCAATTCATACTAGAACTAGTACGATACTTTTGCAATGCATATGGTGGCGTGGTCTTCCTCCCGCACGGACAACACGATCCCGTTGTGTGCGAGCGCTCGGACACTTCGCTTGATCTCCAAGTACTCTTGTCGGGTTTTCGCCTGGACAGTCGCCCACTCGGGAAGAACTTCTGCGGAACCAGGATCCTCCTCCTCGTCAACGTCCATGATTATACTGGACGTCGAGGATTTTCGCTTTATCTTCAGCCTTTGCTTCTCTTTCTCCTTCTATCAAAAGGAAAAATCCCCCCTCCCCATATTGAAGCGGAAACTTCTGCTGCTGGATTTGTGTACACAAATCAGCCCTGTCCTGCAGTGAGGCACTACAGGCAAAGCCTCAGCCTGCGTAGGGGTGTTTTGTTGTAGGCGCTTAGCATAGCAGAGGCCTGCCATGTAGGTGAAACAGCATTACAAATCGCCTCCATAAGGCGGCGGGTTCCTTAGATTTGCCTTCTTGCAAGAGAGACAGGACTTGTGGCCACAAATCAGCATCACAAATTATAGGAACATACCTTTTCGATATGTGGAGGGGGGATTTTTCCTCACAGTACCTTCCGCAAGGGAATTTCATCGGACTCCGAGGGCACAGTTTCCATCTCGTCTTCGTCCTCGTTTTCCTTCAAGTGGGTCGAAATCGTGTCGTTTAGAGTCTTGGGTTTGTTGCTTTTCGCCCCTCCTGCGGAAGCGGTTTGTAGTTGTACCAGCTGAGCATAATTGTCGCCATCCATATCATCTTCCTCTCCCACCACTGCACCAGCTCCCGCCCACGCGCTATCCGGCAAGAATTCTCTGCTTTTCGCCCCGCCAAAGTAATCTGTGTCGAGAAACTGAAAGGGCAGGGTCGTCGGCCGAGACAATGCGTTCGGGTCGTCGAGTTCGTATTTGGAAATCTCCGTCAACGGGCGGGAGGTGAGCTTGCTGCTCATGGTGTTGTTGGAATAATTATGGTGGAAATCGCCGTGGTTGAAGGAGGTGTTGTTATTTTGCTGGTTTTGAACGAAAGCGTTGCTTTGATTGTGCGAAGACGAGTATGGATGCGCCAGGATCGAAATCGTCAAAGTTGAAATAGTTTGTCATGCATAAGATGCAACCCACAAAATTCCTGTCTTGCAGAGTAGGCAAGGGAGGGAGGCTGTAAGCCTGTTGAGGGATAGCAATAGAGCTGCTAGAGTAGCATGACAAAAGGCGTCTTCCTTACCCAAACCGCATTACAGACTTGATTTCGGCTCTACCCAAATTTGTCATGCGCCAGTTGGAAACTAGGCGCCAACTGGTATCCGTTTTATGCATCACGAATTACTTCAACTTTGTCGATTTCGATCCTGACGCCTCCATAACGAGGAAGCTGCACCCAACAACTGCTGCGGTCGAGAGGACTTCGGAGCGGAGGATCCACTAGCGCTGCTCCCCGCTGCACGAGCCACAGCATTCCCAGCACTGCTGCCGGATCGCTGAGTTGTAGTGCCGTTCTGCACTCCCCGCACGTTGTTGTTCTTGCCATTGTTTATTCCCGCCGCTCCATTCAACACATTTCTCCCCGTGGTCGCACTTGTCGCTGCTTTAGAAGCGGACGCAGCACCTGGTAAAACTCTCGCGGCGCTACTAGCTTTATTTCCGTATCCCTGCAGCCCGCCCCCCAGTTCTTGCTTGTTCTTCATCATGTTTTTCTTTTGCAGTATCGCCGCTTCCTTCGACAACTGCCGATCGCGCTCCCGCGCGCCGTCGTCAAACCAGGATTCGACATCGTTCTGCGCGGCGGTAGAGGCACTGTTGGATTTCAACCCGGCGATTTTGGCGCCTGGCTGGTTCCCGCCGAGGAGATGATGTTGTTGCCCCCGAAGACCAGATCCAGTTGCATTGGATGCTGCACCCGAGCCTGAGGATCCACCTCTTGCATTCGCCGGTCGGTTCCCCGCTTTGGCCTTGTTTTTGTTCAGTTTCGGGGCGAACTTCTTGAACAAGTCGGACGGGTTGGGGGTCGACATATTTTGGGAGCTGCGTGGTGGTGGAGTTTAGTGGTCGGTGCAAGTCGTCGTGAGTGTCACACTCACTGATATTTCAAGATGATCAAGTAATGCACGAAAATAGAAATCACATGGAAATGTCTGAATAGAAGAGACAAAGGTGAAACTAAACCAATTCGAAAGACTTCTACGTCTATTTGATGTCGCTTGGAGGAAATGTCTAGAGCGGCCAAACTTATTCTTCTCTCGCTGGAAATTTGCAGGAAATTGAAATCGGATTAAAGTGATCAAATAAAAGTTTTCAAGTTAGTCAATGATCGTTGTGGAGAGTAAAAAATTGAGAACAAATTTTTCGTAGCGCTTGCGCTTTCGTGCACCATCACCACAATTTCATAGAAATCGTCCAATCCGAAGATCACAACGTCAGCATTCAAAGAAGTAGTCAGAATACACCAACCAACTTGGAGATGTCGAATCCATCAGACTTTCTGTAAAAATTGTGCATCTTCGCTAGAAGTAAGTATCTCACTTCATATAGTTAGCGCAGGTGGTGCAAAACACAGGCTTCATGGAGGCATTCGCGAGTGTGATCTTCAACATGCGCGAGAAATTCATGCTGTTCTGTTTCCGACAGTATCATTTTCTTCTGGGTGCTGCCCTTGCAATAATTTTGATTTTCCATATTTCGCTTTATTCTCTTGCAATTTCTTTTTTCTCATCGGTTTTCGGATTTTCATTTTGGCATAATTATGGCAGAGAAGGGTTCTTCTCCTACTGTAGCATTTTGCGTTCCGCCGCGGACATTCTGCATCGATAGTCAGCTTGAAGTTACAGAGCTTCGAAGAACATTGAAAAAGTTGAAATTATTTTATCGGATTTTACATTTGTGTTTGTATTCATCTCGTGAGTTACAAGAAGTTGAAGAGGCTGCTCTGCCTCTGCCCCGTTTTTATTCATATTCAACCGCTTTCCAAAATCACGACAGTTCAATTGCAGGGTCCCCCACGACCACTTCCGTTGTGGCTTGCAACATAGGCTGCAGAGCGCGCACGCCTTCTGGCGCAGCCAGTGCGGTTCCGTGGTGGTAACGTAAATACTGATCGTGTAACTGTTCCTGCCCGACGACGTGCTGATGTCCATACGCAGTCGGAAGCGGACCTCGCCCAGCCCCTCCCCTCGGCCTGCGGAACCGCACCCACCACTGCGAATCCGCAAGGTCCCGGGGCGGAATGTGCAGCTCCCACTCATCGGGGTTGAAGCCGTTCGGGTTGACCCCGTGGTGCGGGTTTCTGGCGAGTTCCTGCGGACACTGCGAGCTGGTATCCCCACTCAACCACCGCGGCAAGTCCGGGATCGTCCAGAGAGGCCGGCCCCGTTGCCGATTTTCCGCACGGAAAACCACACACCAGTGTTTCGTGTACTCCAACATTTCGTTTTTCAGCTCGGGATACAAGACCTGCTCCGCCAGAGCAGGGTTTCTCTCCGTCCAGGGATCGACGACGGGACTTTGATGGTTGGTGTGGTGAAAAACGCCGTGAATGTTGCCAGTAGAAGTCCCTTGCTCTATTGCATGAAGTTGCGGGTTGTAGCCGTGCGGCTGCGCCTGCGCCGCAAGGTGGGCCAGGTGGTTGTTATACGCATGCCAGGGGTTCTGACCAGCTCCTGTGGCCTGCGCTGCCACTTGCTGCTGATAGTAATAGTGATGGTGCGGGTAGTGCGACGGCCCCACTACCGCACTTTCGTGCGGAGCAGCAGAGGTGCCAGTGGTCACTTCGCGCACTAAGTCTACTAATTCTTGGTGGTTGTACTCGGACGAGTGGGCGGTTGACGAGGCTGGTGCAGCAGCAAACAAACCAGTACGGGGGGCCCCCGCGCCGCTATTCGAGGAAGAGGCGACAGACGAAGAGGCGCCATCACCTACACTGCGACTTCCTGCGCCGGACTTCTTCTGCTTCTTCTTGGCAACAAGAGGAGTAGTTTCGCTCTTTTCTGCAGCTGTACTCTTTCTTGATGTAATATCAGCAACTTCCACGCTCGATGGTCCAGCAGAAGACCTTGCGTGCGGGGGAACATATAAATTCTGGCGCATGTGATCAACGACACCCGCGGCTTTCGCTTTAGCAGGTGCAGGCACAGGAGCATTTTTGGATGACGCAGAACTTCCCGCGCCTTCGTGCTCGTGCTGCCTCCCGTGACCGGAGCCGATACTTCGTGCCTGTAACCGTGTCTCGGTTTGCGAATCGTACACCTTTTCTCCTTCTCCTCTACGGCTCTTTCTACTTTTCTGCGATGAGGATGCTGCGCCACGGGGGGAGGTGGATGAGATTGCGGACGCCCGGCTCGTGACTTCTGACGAGGCGGAGTAGAAGTTTTGCGATTGCGCCTGCTCTGACGTCAACACCGGCTGGGAACTGGAGGCGATGGTAGCTTGCGACAAAGTTCGATTCATTTCCAGCGAAGATGAGGTGTCGTCTTCATTGTCAGCGATTTCGAGGTCTACTGTCAACGCCTTCTGTTCCTCGAATAAATCAGACTCGTTCGTGTGACGAGGCTGACGTAACTCCTGTCCATGACCGGCGTCCTGATCTGTACCTGCTGCGGCGGCATCATGATTCACAGTTCGCATTTGCCCCTGTACAAGGCCCCGCTGTCTGCCTGGAGCTGCTACTTGCTGAGTTGTCTGGCTGGAGCTGCTACTTACTGAGGAAGCGACGAATTCCAATTCGCTGCTCGCGTTATTTTCTACAACTGCTGTCTCGCTTCCATTAGGGCGAAAAATCGCTGCGTGTGTAGTATCTGTGGAAGCCTTCTTCCTCTGTGCACCATGTGTCGCTGTCGTGTACGACGATGCCGCAGCTGTCGCTGCTGCTACCTGCTCCGACGTCTTTTTCGTAGATGAAGTGCGCTCTTTTCCTCCTTCCCGATCAAGGTCAACTTTCACTCCCGCACTAAGCAAATTCACGGGAGAAGGGGGATGGTCTGGCGGGGGCGTCTTCGGCTGCGGTAGCAGCTGAGAATGTTGTTGAGTAGACGGGGATGACGGTGTTGGTGTAGAAAAAGTTCTTGCAACTTGTTGTACATCAGAACCACGCCCTTTATTATGCTCTCCAACAGGAGCTTCTGCGGTCGCAGTACTACTAGGTGAGCCTCTTTGCACGTCGCGTTGTTGGTAGTGATGTCCCCGATTGTGCTGGTGCACCTGCTCGACCCCATCTCCGGAAGATGCGGACATAACAGGCACAGCCGTGTGCTGGTGCTGCTGTGCTGGTTTTTGTGCCTGCACAGCATGCTCTTGCGCGGCCACCAACGCATCTTCCGCCGGAGTGGGTGTTTGATTTGGATCATACACAAAAGGCGGGTAAGGCGCGTTCATTTGCAGCTGCATTTGCTGCACATTTTGCATTTGCTGCTGCTGCTGTGCCTGTGCTGTCGCTTGGTTCATTACCATCATTTGGTTAATGCAGGGGTGGTGGTAGTGCTGTTGCGGCATCGCATACGGAGCTACTGCTTGGGCTGCCCCATCAGCTCCTGTGTAGTACGCTGGAAGATAAGAACAAGCAGGGGGCTGTTGACCGTCTTGCTGCTGGTGTCCGGCAGCTACGTTTGCTGCTTGCAATTGTGCTTGTGCAGCAGCGACATGATAGACGGTGGCAGCCGGATCGTGGCCCGACGTAGACATGACACGAAGTCCGTCCGGCGCCGTGCTGACCAGCGGAGGTCGTTCGGGTTTTTGGTACTGCTGCTGGTACTGCTGTGGCTGTTGGTTATACTGCTGTTGCGGTAGTGGAAAGTATTGAGGTTGCTGCAGAACACCAACGCCCTGAAATTGCTGCTGTAAAAATTGAAGTTCTTGCTGATGTTGTCCATGATTCATCATCTCACCGCCTTGCGCCGGAATTATGTGCGGCTGCGATAGTACCCCTCCAGCAGGAACTGCCACTGCTTCCGGCTGGGCCACCGCCGGCAGCACCCCCGCACCGCGATGAGAGCTCACGTTCACGGCTTGCCCTGGGCGCAGGACCTGAGCCTGCGGCTGTTGCTGGCCACCTAATGCGCTCTGGAGGTCCGGCTTCGGAGATGTTGATGAGTCCTGCCACATGTAGCAAGTGAGGTGGTCTACTTCGGAAGATGCACTAGTCTGGCGCGCGAAGGAATTATTTGCAGAGGACGCAACTGCGGCTGCAGCAGCTGTCCCTGACCCTGCGTCAGTTCTGCTACTATGGTCTTCGGAATTATGGTAGTTGGACTGATGCGCCATTTGTTCAGCCGGCAACATTTCCCGCGGTTCTTGCTGCAGATTCATGCTAGAAATAAGAGCTGCTTGGAGGTCCGCATCCGCCGTCTGATACAACTGGTTAGAAGTTGTAATATGATCCTGAGCTGCTGCAAAAACACCCGGCTCCTGGCTCAAATTGTGCATTCTGGATGGCGATGGGGTTTCGGGAAAAATTGTTCCAACGGGGGATGTGATCATCGCGTTACTGGAGGGAGATGCAGTGATTGTCATGGTAGTTGTGTCTACTAGTACTTCTCCAGGAGCAGGACTCAGCCCCCCTTGTTGAGGATTTTTCCTACCTGAAGCCGAAGCTTCTCCAGCCGGCGACGGCGCATACAAGGGCTGTACTACGGGATGAATACTGGTACTGCCTGCGCGAGGACCTTCCGCAGTGCTCGGACTGGTATGGATGTGTCAGGATCGAAATCGTCAAAGTTAAAATAATTTGCCATGCATAAAATCGATACCAGTTGGAAGCCCAATTTCGAAGCGGTGCATGACAAATTTCGGCACCGTCTAAATCCAGTTGTCATGCTGTTTAGGGACAAAAGGCGTCTTTTGTCATGCTACTTTAGCAGCTCTATCGCAGACCGCAAACAGGCTGCCAGTCGGCCTCACTTGCCATCCCTGCAAGAGAGGCACTTCATGCCTTGCAATTTATGCATGAGAAATTATTTCAACTTTGTCGATTTCGATCCTGATGCCTCCATAACTGGCTACCGGCGAGTAAGGAATCATGGTAACATCCATGGAAGTATGACATTGCACAGCTCCCCCTCATCCTCATTTGTTATGCAAAACCGCAAATCCATTTGCTGCCCTGTAGCACTGTTTGCATGACAAATTTTGGAAGGCCAAACAGTACTACCTTTGACGACCGGTGAACTTGTCATGCACAGGCTTCAGGAGTGCTGGCTTTTGTATTGCTGTTCAAGCCTAACAAACGAGGAGGAGGGGGAGATGTGCACTCTCATAGGAAGGCACTCCGCCCTCGGTCAACGGCTGCTGGGGCTGGCCCCAAACAAATCCTCCTCCAGAGTTGTAAAACTGCGCCGCAGGTGGATCGTGGGTTCTTCCGGGCGCATGAATAAGACCTTGATATTGATCTTGGTGCTCAGAAGGGATAAAGTTGTGCTGGGGCGGCAGCTGTAGCTGCTGTGGGCACTGTGCTTGTTGTTGTTGTTCCCCTTCTCCTGTCCCGGTTTGATACGGTGGGTGAGGGTAGAGGTAGCCATGTTCTTGCGGCCCACAGCCACTGTAGGTGTTGTAAAAGCCCGCGTCACTCCCACCACTGCCCGTCGTTTGCTGCTGTTCTTGGTGAGTATGGTCATCAGAGGTAGACGCACCGTGCTGCTCTTTCGCTGGCGCTGAAGCCGCGCATTGCGCATCAGTTCCTGAGGTAGACGCACTTCCAAATTGCAGTTCCTGTGTCCCCGCTTCATATGATGCATGAACGGCGGAACAACCGTCTGACACTAGCCCCAAACTTTTTGGACTCGTTGTCCCCAGATTTGCTTTCGTGGCAGACGCAAGCTCTCGCGCGTGCGCAACATTCCGATCAAATTGCTGCTGAGTAGGGCGAGGCTCTGTACTGCTGGCAGAGGAAGATTGCTGTTGCGGTATTTGCTCTCCAGTCGTTGTTGCACCACTCGTGAGAACCGGAACCGTAGTTTGATGCACCACTTGCATCACAGGGCAACCGAGCGTACCTCGCACACTCCATACGTGCTCGGTGGGCCGTTGCATAACGACCTGCTGGTCGACGTGATAGACACCCCCGCCGCCCGTGCCCGCGCTTGCCAAGTTCGAAGCAGCCGCACCAACATGATCAACCGCAGGTGTAGTTGTTGCGCCAGCACTGGCAGGAGGCGGCGCAGGAGACATCATGATATTAGGTGGAACACTACCACCACCACCCTGTACTACGGGGGACACTGCCGCGTTTATTCCCACGGCATTTGCCTGTTGGCCTCCGTGGCAAACCATTTGCTGGCCAACTGTGTGACCACCAGCTTGCGCATGCTGCATCATCTGCTGTTGATGGTAATATTGCGCATAGTACTGCTGCTGCTGCTGCTGTTGTGCTTGCGCACTAGTAACCTGATGGTGGTGCAACCACATCCGCAACTGCGTCTGCTCCTGCTGCAACTGCTGCCGCAGCTGGAGCTGTTGCATGTAGAAATTCTGCTCCTGTTCTGGGGAAGATGCATTTGGATTTGCATCATGCCCATTATGTTCTTGAGCAGGTAATGCATAGTCAACATATCCTGGTGCGTGATGTGGGTTGTACTGGTGCTGTACCTGTAGTACTCCTGGCTGTGCAGCCGCGACCGGACTCCCTGCCGGCGACCCACCACCTCCACCGGGCATCAGACTGTGCAACTGCGTGCTCAGCAGCAAAGACCCTGCTGCTGCGCCTCCGGTAGTTTGATGCCTCCTCGCCCAAGCTGCTAAGTCCGACCGTGTGGCATCGGGGGATTTTGGCGAGCCGCCAAGTTGTTGTCCAGCGGGGCCGCTTGGATTGATTTCTGGTTGTTGAGGCTGCTGCAGGTCTGCCTGCTGCAAAGCTGCCGGCACCGGCCTCCGAGCGGCCGCGGCAGGATGCTGAATCACAGAAGCTGCAGCAGTGGCTGTGGAACTCAGAGTACTATGCTCAACATGGTGTTCGTGCGGCACGAGTAGAGCTGGACTAGTACCTCCGGCAGCAGGCGTTGCAGCTACCGCTTTCCTTAGCTCGAGCCCGAGCGCTAGTACAGAAAATTTCATCTGCACACTACACAAGAGACAGTGAAACGCAAAAATGGTTGCGAGGCGAAAATGTGATATGGTCTTTGTCGCCAAGCAGAACCTCACCTTCGCACCTCCAGGTCGGTTTGTAGGGCTGCGGGAAGATGAGATAGACTCAACAGATTCGCTTTGGAACCGCAGCATGGCCATGACTATGTGGCTTTAATTTGAAATGTTAATGTAGGAAAAAAAAATGCTGAAATAACAATAAGGCACGAGAGCTACCGCTCTGAAGTGCTGAAAGAGAAAGAATAAGACGTCGTAAGTTCTCGTTTCATCCAGACCTAAAAAACTATGCAAGGAAGATTTCAATGTCAAAGAGAAGATGGAGCATTTTGCTGTGAAAGTAGTACAAGGAGAGACGCAGGAGCATAATAATTCGTAGTGGTCCCACAAATAATACTCCTTAAAATCATGCGGATGAGGGCATGATCACTCAAAGTACTACTACTATGTTGACATGCCAGTAGGGATCTGTTCTTCAGAACTGCTCGTACACAGAGCAATCCTTGAAGAAAAAGTTGCACAGGTACTGAACTAGAGGTACTCTTCTGACGACGGCCGCGTTCATCAGCTTTGGTTGATGCTGAAGCTAAACCTAAATGGATCATCAGTCACCAGAAAAATAAAAATGATCTTCACGCTGATATTAGGCTGGACTAAAAGCTAGATCTTCGTTCTTTAGTTCTTTCTGTGTCACTAGCTTCGTGGTTTTCCTAATTGATGTCGCACAAAGGAACAACGAGAGCTTTTTATTCCGCGCAGCAGGTGGGAAGAAGTTGTTCATCCCAAGGGACAAAACAACTTCAAGTACTTTTGCACAGCAGCTTCTTGGAGGTCATACATATCACGAGGAAAATTCTACTTGGAGGAAAGGTTTTTATGCGAAAGTGTGTGCTGTCGTTTTATTCTTGATGTTCGACACACCGTTGGAGATCATAGACAAGAAGAACGCACTTCTAGCGAGCCATAAATATCCAAGAAAAAAACTGTGTTAGTGTAACTTTCTTTGGCTGACAGCATCACAGATTTGCTCTACATGACAGAAAAAACCTGTCATGTGTGGCTTGTAAGGGAAAATACACATGAAAAAAGGACTTCATGGCTGTGTGGCATGACAGGTGTAACTCTGTTGCATGTTTTGCATTACAGAGTTACACTTACACAGTTTTTCTTTTTTTCTTGCATAATAAAAATGCACCTCCTAATACGGAGTCGGCCTGCTCGCCTGGTTGCTATTTCCGAACAGGTTTTTGGGCAAAAAACTGTCCATCCTATAATCTTCGTTGATCTTGTTCTTCTATCACAGGAAAAAGTGTTAACGTTAACGGTGTTCACAGATTGCAGTCATGCATCACAAATGTAGCCCAATATGCATGCTATCCATGACAAATTTTGATACGTTTCGTGAAGATGCATTGCTGCATCACAAATTCCGTTAACCTTCACGTTAACACTTCTTCCTGTCATATCTTCCCCTTGCCACCCTTCCCGCCGCCTTTTGTAGAAAAGTTATTGTTATTTCCCTTTGTAGTCACCTGCGACTGCTTATCAAATGTAAAAATGTCTGGGTCTGGAAGATTGCCAGGTTTGTCATGCACATTTTGCATGACTCCTCAAGTCTGTGACGCATGCCCTAGCATCACAGATTTTTAGAGGGCTTCCTGAAGCCTATTCCGCATGACAAATGCTCTTTCCGTGCTGCAAAATTTGGACTCTCTTTGCTGCTCTTGCAATACAGATTTTTTTAGAATCCAAAATCAGCATGACAAGGTGGATTCTTCCAGACCCAGACATTTTTACAGTTGATACTGCTGCTGCCCCATCGCCGGAGGGCGACCCGGCAATGGCATCAGCTTTTTAGAAGTTGTACCTGCAGCTGCTCCACCAGAAGGATTAAAATTAGGAGCGGTGGACGTGCCAAACAAGGGGTTGCGATTGTTTATCTGCGGCTGTTGCGGTTGCTGGTGCCCTCCAACCGAGCCGCCAGTGGCTGCTAAGTTTAGCCGCGGAGCACCTCCGATTGCTCCGTTCCGCCCCGCCATTATGGCTGTTCCGGCTGTGGCTCCCACTACCGGGACCACGTTTAACGCACCTCCCGTGGAAGAAGCTGTAGCCCCCTTTCCGTCCGCCTGCTCTCCCGTCGCCGCCCCCTCCGCGGTTAGGCACACCCAGACCGGCTGGCTCGCCTGCGGTAACCCCTCCTTGTTAAAATGCAGCTTGAAACGAAACCGTATCAAATGCAAAAGCATCTTCGCACTCAAAGTAATGGTAATGCATCGCAACCATGCATGACAAAACTCATTTTCTACTGTTCTAGCATGACAAATTCATTTTTCAACCGGAGAAAATTTGTCATGCAATCTCGTACTAAGTGCGATACTTTTGCAATGCATAAACCGCATGTTGGGCTTCATCTCCCCGCGTTCTACCATGTCCTTGTGGAGGAAAATGTTCCGGTTCTTTTCGTCGACGAAATACCCGGGGGCGCGAGCGAAGCCATGCTATGCATTGCAAAAGCATTGTACTAGTAGAAATCGCATTACAAATTCGGTCAGCATAACGAATGGAATTTCTCATGCTATTTTGCTTTGGGATGGAAATTTGTAATGCATGATTGCGATTACTACGAGTACGATACTTTTGCACAGGATACATGCCCGACCTTGTTGATGTTGTTTACGAAGCCTTCGTACTCAAAATTGTGGAAGGCGATGTCCCGCATGGTGTGCTTCTCGTCCAGGGACCGAAGCTCCCACAGGTTTTCCCCATCATCATGCTGCTTTTCCTCCTCCGAGACCTGCTGGATCAGGAGTTTGCTGCTCGATCGAATCGTCGCGGTGGTTTGATGCTGGGCGGCGGCCGCGGAAACCGTCGGACCGGTTTTCTTCTCCGCCAGCGCTTGCTGTTGTTGTGGAAAAGACAAAGAATTGCTCCTGAGCTGCAGCTTCATACATAATTTGTCATGCTGCCTAAGCATAGAGTGATAAATCGCAATGGTGAAAAGCGCAAACAGATGAAACACAAATCTTTACCTGAAACAGCAACGCCGGGTCGTTTTCCCCCTTGTGCCCGCCCGGGATGCACAACCGCCACACCGGGGCGGAAACCTGGGGATTCCCAGAACCGGAGATGTGCACGCGAAAGCAGATAACATTGTTCAGACCCAGGTGGCACAATTCCATGATCTTGTCGTGAATGTAGGCGTCGTTTTTGTACTCTTTCTTCAGCACATTAGTTTCGACAAACGCGTTGCCAGCCGTTGACATATTCACGATCGTGGTATGGAAAGGAAGAGGAAGATCGTGGAAGCTTTTTTTATCGTGCGCGGTTCTTTATTTGGTTGTTATATCGGTTTAGAGATTACATGAAATTCTGTGGCACCATAAAATCATATATAATAACCGAAAAATGCGAATGCGCGTGACGCCTGCACAGACTGCAACTTCGCTGAGTTTTGCGTGTAGTTGGCTAACACGTTAAATGGTTGAAGTACACTTTTACACAACACTACACTTTCGATCCTAACAACCATCAACCTCTCAAAATGCATCGCAGCTTGTAATGATCACAGACAACCGGATATTGATGATTTGAGAACCGGCGTTCCTCCAATGACTTCCATGACTTCTTCTTCCCATTCCTACTTTCCGAAGTAATCTCCGAAAATTACATCTTGTTCCGCCCGGAAGGGTGTCGTGAGCTCCCAAATCCCAAACCCGGTTCCGAATTTCACGAAATCCGCGTGCTGCATTAGCGGGTGTCCCTCCTTACTCAACTCAATCCGGAAGGCGATCATCGTGCCCCGTTTCAACTCGTACTTCCCCAAAACGTAGTTCGGTACGAAGTACATACCGTTTTGCGGGATTTGGCTGCGGTCGGTCGAGACATTGCACTCCGCCGCGTGGATGATGGTGTGGTCGCCGTCGGGGGTGAAATCGCCGATCACGCCGATGTGGATGTCTTTCAGGACCGTTTTGTCCAAATTTTTTTCCAAATACTCCCTTGCCTCGTCCTTGATGTGCCGGGCTGGGTTCAAAAAAGTTTCCTTCTCGTTTGGATCTCTTTTGTTGTTTTGCGAAGTCAACATCGCTGTATTAACCCCTCCTGGTGGTTGAATTCGCTGCGTAGTAGTTCCCACGTTGTTGCTCATCATCCCCATACCTGCTCCAACCCTCTGCGTTTGTGGCGCTTGGATGGTTTGCCCGAGTTGCGCCAGAGCCGCGCCGGCGTCGGACGTGGACTGATTCCCAGTCACGATGTTGGTTAAAACAGAAGTGATGTTCTGCAACAGATTCAGCTGATCATTTTTATCGAGTTTATTGTTCTGCGTCATTGTCGCTGTCTGGAGGGACGAAGAGCGCTGCATCAGGGCGGGCTTCTGCGCAGAGGAAGGAGCGGTAATGAGGCCACCAGAGTTGATGTTGTTGTTTCCGCCTTTATTGTTGTTCTGTAGCTGCTGTTCCCACACGGTTTTCGAACTCGGCAAATCCTCGACCAACTGCCACAGCGGGGCGCTGGCTTGCGGCTTATGGATGTGTCAGAGTTGAAATCGACAAAGTTGAAGTAACTTGTAATGCATAAAATCGATACCAGTTGCAAGCCCAATTTCTAAGCCGCGCATTACAAATTTGAGTAGAGCCGAAATCCAGTTTGTAATGCTGTTTGGGTAAGGAAGACGCCTTTTTTCATGCAGCTTTGGCAGCTCTATTTCTACCCCGAAACAGGCTTACAATGTGCCTCCCTTGCCTAGTCTGCAAGACAGGCACTTTCTGCGTTGCATTTTATGCATGACAAACTATTTCAACTTTATTGATTTATTCGATTCTGAGGCTTCCATACGGCTTGTTTTGCGCGTTGTAATGTACGTCGAAGGCGACAAAGGTCATCATCGGGATTGTTTCTAACACGATCGAATGGTGAATGTAGATATCACAGTCCGCCGCGTCCTTGGCCTCAATAAACCCGTTGCCGAAGTTCCCGCGAATGTTGTATCCTGAGTAAAAACGTCCCCATCTCAGAGTTGTCATGCAAAATTGCATGCCAAAAAAGTCTCTCATGCGGAGCCCCATACGAGCCATCTCCTCGCCGCGTTTCGGAATTTGTGATGCTAGAATCAGCATGACGCGCTAGGTCTGTAATGCTTCGGAACTAGCTAAACAGGATTACACTACAAGGACAAATTTGTCATGCGAAACAACCAAAGCTGGCTGATTTGTCTAGCAGATTTCCCATCTTGACTCTGGTGTGGGGACATTTTTACTCAGGATATGTTCCCGCCCTGTTTCGTATGTTCTTTGCTGTACCTGACTAGTTTCCCCACATGTTTCGGAAAGGGAAAGACTTGCTGCTCGATGAGTTCCCTTTTCGCGCCGTGGCCTTTCATGTCGGAAGAAAATTTATGCTCGAGGGACACTGGGTTCAAAGCCCACACCTGGGATTCCGGGACGTTTCTCGTTGGGTCTTGGTATTCGTCGAGCTCGAAAGCGAGTTGGTCGCCGGGCTTGAGAACGAAATGATCGAGCTTTCCCTGCTATGCATCGCAAAAATATCGTCATCGTAGGAAGTCGTCGTCGTACCAATATGAATGGCATGACAAATTATTCCATACAGAAAAGCTGGCATTTGTCATGCTGTTTCAGGTGCAAAACTAGATCTGTATATGCAAGACTGGCATTGGAACGAGTACGAAGATCATACTTTTGCATGCAATGCATACCTGCGGAAAGTACACCTTCACCTCCGAAGCTGTCTGGCCGAAAAGACTCGTGTGCCCGAACTCGTCGTCCTTCTCATTGTGCACCGTTTCGCAGACCGCCATGTCTTTTCCAAGGAGCGTGATGATCCCCGTGGCCATTTTCGCGGTCGGAGAACTAGTCGCGTTGTTCGTCATCATGTTATTGGCACCAGGAGTTGTTCCACCAATACCCGTTGTGCTGTCGTTATTGTAAGGGTTGCATCACAAGAAAAAGTGTTAACGTTAAACGGAATTTGTGATGCAGTGATGCATGAAAAAAGGTGCGCAGATTTGTATTGCTGGAAGGCAAAATTTGTAATGAATGACTGCCATCTGTGAAAACCGTTAACGTTAACACTTTTTTGTTGGATAGGTTGTTGTCCATATGCATATCCACCTCGCCGAGACCTCCGAACATGGTGGGAATAAAACTTGACATTTTTGGAAACTAGAATTGGAAACTAGAAATTTCAGACGTCGGACGTTCAGGAAATACAAATAGGAACAAGGCAATATATGAAACTTTAAAAGGAAATAATAGGTTGGTCGTTGTTCATCTTGTTCTTCAACGAAAATAAAACAAAGATGAACCCGGGCGGCGACGAGATAAGATTTAATCGCCGACTCAGAGGTGGACCATCGGTCGCTCGATAGTTGTGGTCGCACAGAAACCTGCTGTACTGCTCCTAGAAGATTTAGATTTTCGTGCTGTCAGGATGAAATTTGTTCTGACTATCGATGTCGTCAGGTTGAGAAAAAATTGGGAAAGTTCAGAAAAATCGTGTGCTATTGCTGGTGGAATCATTTCATCGCTGCGAAAGAACGGGAAATGGAAAATGAAACTCAAAGCGAAAGAAATGTTAAATGCACCCTCTCTTCTAGTACAACTCAGATGATGCAGTTGCAGATGCTGAGAAACGTCGTGCTAGAAAGTTGGAATAAACCTTTTTCTTTGTATGGAACATTCAAAGGATAAGGAACTCAATAAAATTTTAGATCCGATATTGGATATTATCGGGGGAAAACAAGTTTGGGGGGTCTTCTACCCTTTTTCGTGCAAAACTTTGAATCGTTTCTCGAGGACTGAAGCTTCGTAGTTTGTATGAATGCGTGATTTTTTTTTTGTGAAAAGAAGAACGTCTCTGATGGAAAAGTGCAAGTTGCAAAGTTCTTGTACGCACAGGCGGTTTGCGGCTCCTCAAGTTCTCAAATTTGAATTCGATTTGTGGTGCCCGTGGCCGAAACTAAATTTTAATTTTGATGTGAAAATTTTGGAGTGAATTTTTGCCAATCATGTCCACGAACTATAATATGATCGCACGATGCTCCTGGCGCTCTCATAGTAAGGACTTCTTTCATGATACTAGTACGACACAGTGCTGTCTAAAAAATCTACTTGAACGATTTCATGTGTGTACGAAAAGCAAGAGCAACACCTTATGACCTTGTAGTTCAGGAACACGATTTAGGAAAATTTGAAAGAGAAAAACTTTTTCAAATTTCGACTCCATGTCGTACCACGACAGGAAGTGGCAACAGAGGCCGGCTTTCTCCATTTTTCCGATAAACTGCTTGCTCATCAAGAGCGTAGTCAAGAACATTTGTGAGAAAAAAGAAATCATTTTTGCATTTTAGTCGTTCCCGAAAACTTAAAGAAATTCTTGCAGCTCTTTGTTCATTTCAACATTTTTGCAGAGAACCATTTCAATCTCTGATGGCCTTTCTCTTTGTTCTCAACACTGAGTATTTGTATTTATTTTCATATAATTCATACGACTGCAAGAAATAAGGAGCATTGCATTCCACAACCATGCACTTGCGAGCTGTCGCAGAAGAAATCTATATTCTCAAAAGAAGTTGTTGCGCTAGGGCTTGTGCATGAAGCGCCGTTTGTTGTATCTACAAAAAAATTAAGATCTGGATTATAGTTCCGTTTTAATACTTCTCAGAGGAAGCAAGACCAAAGGGCGAAGTTGTACTAGTTTTCTACAATAAAGTCGAGCGTCTTCTCTTTATGCCGGGGTCCGCAACGTGGGCCCTTTGTTGTAGTGAAATATTTCGCATCAAGGGTGCTATGCTTCTCGTTGCACGTATTCGCTTGCTTGTCGTGCACGGTAGTAGAAAATGCAATATATGTTGCCCCCTGTCTGACTGTATCCCTAAGTCTGATTAGTGCAAAAGAAAAAAAAATCAAAATGCATCGGAGTGCTGTATCCAGTACTCGATCCCTATCGAGAAATTCAAATGATCGTCAAAAAAGCAAATACTTACATAGCACGTGCAGGTGTGCTGCTTTTCATTTATTTCGTAAAAGGTTTTTTGGTCTCTTGTTAGGCTAGCGCTAGGGCGGAGCGCATATTACGCAACATCATTTTATTGCTACAACAAACTGGCCACCCGTCGCCCTGGATTCAAGTTATAAAAGAAAGCGAGCTTAGACAAAACTTAAAGCTGTATTCTCGGTAGTTCTTCTTGTTTGATGGAAAAATATTAAACGCCTTTACGTGTACCCCGGATTTTGAAAAAACCCGGGTTGTATCTACCTCGAATTTATTTGTGAAAATGAGGAGGTCTTCTACGTCTACGTGTACGTGCTCACTAATCTTGCCCGATAAATTATTTTTCAGTTCAGAGAGGACAATATCAGGTGGAAGAAGCGAAGAGATGCAAATGCAACAAAACTTGACAGCACAAAAAATACCGACATCATCGTGTTCATGCAGAGCTAGAAGCGGCCTACTTCTTCAGTTGCACTTTTAAAGCTTGCGCTTCTCACGATATGATTCTCATTTTCTATGGTCTTTCCTGTACTTATTTCCAGCAGCACCACTGCTGGCAGAGCCAGAGCCTCCTCCTGCTCCGCCCGCTGCTCCAGGTTTTTTGATAAATGGCTTCCACGGGTGCGCTGCCTGAGGCGGCCCGCGAAAAAGATTCATCCTTTGTCTTTGTGTGTGTGCGCTGGATGTCGCGACGTGCAACTCTCCTCCTGGGTGGTCAACATCCATTACACGTTGCTCCTCCAGTTCTTGGTCGTGAAGACTAAGTGGGATGGCGGCAGTTCTAGTAGTACTCCCTCCTGTGCTGGCCGGCGTTCCTCTTGCCCCCGGTCCTGCGGAAGAAGAAGATGCAGCAGCAGCAGCAGCAGCCCTTTCTGCCTTGTCCACCAACTGCCCTGCGTTTTGCTCTGCCTCTTGCACTGCAGTTTGCCTTTCTGCGGCTTGCAAGAGCTGGCTTTGTACGTGCTCGGGAAAATCCTTAAAATCGGCAGGGGAGTTGTACGGCTCGGTCGGAGGTGCTGTCGTGGAAGATTTTTTCATCGGGTAGTTTACCGTAGAAGTTCTGTCGCGGCGTCCAGCAGCACCGGCGGCCAGAAGTCCTGGCATCCTAATCTCCTGCTGCTGCTGGTGCGTCGAAGATGATGGTGCAGAAGCGCCAGAACTTGATGCTCCAGTTGGATCTACAACTCCCGATGCAGCATGCTGATCCATATGTCCTAGCTGCTGTTGCTCACCAGCACAATGCTGGTGGTACTGTTGTTGCCACCAGGCCGCCTCGGCAGCTTTCGCAGCCATCATCTGTTTATCAAATGTAAAAATGTCTGGGTCTGGAAGAATGCAAGATTTGTCATGCATATTTCTCATGACCCAAGATGCCTGTAATGCATGACCTAGCATCGCTGATATTTAGAGGTCTTCCTGATGCACCTTCCGCATGAGAAATGCCCTGTCCGTGTAGCACAATCGGCGCTCCTCTTGCTGGTCATGCAATACAGAATTTTTTAGAGTCCAAAAACAGCATGACAAGTTGCAATCTTGCAGACCCAGACATTTTTACACTTGATACTGTTGCTGCTGTAGGCTCTGTGCCTGCATCATCTGCTGTGCAACAGCTTGGTGCTGGTTATACCGGTGTTGATGCCCCGCAGCCGCCGCCGCGGCTGCCCACGCGGCTTGCATATTATTGCCCATCATGCTTGCTTGCATCGCTTGGCGGAGTTGCATGCAGTTTTGGATGTTCTTCATGCTGTTGAAAACGGCTCCTGCTGGGTTTCCGCCCATCTGGTGCAGCTGCGGTGCGCCTGGAGGTCCCATAGTACCCATAGCAGCTGCTGCTGCTGGTCCACCACCGCCGGGCATATTCATATTCATAAACGGGAACTGCATCATCCCACTTTCAATTGGAGAACTACTACTGCCATCACCTAAATCGACAGCACCGGCCTGTTGCGGATGCTGGTGCTGCTGGGGAAAAAAGAAGTTGTTGACGTTCACATTGAAGTTGTAATTCGCTCCTGTACCGCCCCCATGATGGTTCGCACCAGGAGATGCAGCAGAAGTAGTAGATGAAGCAGCTACGCCAGCATTTATTGTTCCACCATCTCGACCACCGACGGTGCCTGCGCCCTGCGGTCCACCTCTCTGGAGGTCCCTGGGAACAAACTCCGGCGCCTGCGTGTTCATCGTGGATAATTTCGAGGTGGCTTGTTGTGCCGGAGAAGATTTTGTTTTCATCGATGAATCGACACGTCCTCGTGAAGCCGTGGACGTTGACGATGAGGCAGCTCCAGCTTCTGCACCTCCTGCACCTGCTGGTCGTGCCGCTGGCGCAACACCACGTGCACTTGTTGCTTCTCCTTGCGTCGGTTGCGCAAACCCAAACCCTTCCATCGGTCCCAGTTCCTCTAGCCCGGGGGGCAACGATATTTTTTCATCTCGCTGCAGCGTTATCAAATGTAAAAATGTCTGGGTCTGGAAGAGTCATGCTGTTTTTGCATGACACAGAAGGCCTGGCATGGAAGCTCTAGCATCACAGGTTTCGAGAACCTTCCGCAATGCCGAATCCGCATGACAAGTCCCCTATTTTGCTGGCAAAAAGTGGGAGCTTTCGCTACGTATGCATGAGAGACTTTTCTGTGTTCTGAAATACGCATTACAAGTTGCATTCTTCCAGACCCAGACATTTTTACATTTGGTAAGCGTCGGCGAGGGCCCAAAGATTTCGTCGTTCAAACTGTCCAGAAGCTTTTTATCCACAGTAAATTTCCCGTACACGTACAAATGTGGTTTCTGCATGACAAAACTTGCCTTCAATCCTGGTGCAGCATGACAAGCTGGGCTCTGATGTAAGGTAGCGAAATTTGTCATGCATTTTGTTGTACATGTACAGGAAATTTACATTCGCATACTTTTCCGGGTCTTCGTCCTCTTCGAGCGACCCAGAGGGCAGCGCGACTTTGTAGCCAGATTCGACAGGAGACCACGTCGTAGTAGCCTCTTCTAATCCCGGTGGGAGGTCTACTAAAGTAGTAGCAGTAGGAGCGACTATCTCTTTGATCGCTAGTGCACAGGCAGCGGCGGCGTCTTGGGCCATCCCAGTCGAGGAACTGATGGGCACAGCCTGCCCCTTCTCTTCCAACGTGCGAAACAGCTCAGAAACATAGGCTGCGCGAGGTGGAACGGTACTAGACGAAGCTGGATGATTTTTGGCATAGTCTTCGTTCTTGGGAGGAGCAAAAATCGCTTCACGAGGATCCGATCCCGAAGCAGCAGCAGTTCTTGTAGGTACTGATCCGGCTCCAGACCCTCGAGATGTTGATCCAGACCCTGCTGGTGCTGGCCCCGAAGTTGTACTAGAAACCAAAACGCTCGCCAAATCGTTACTGAACGCACAGAGAGCGTTGGAGCGGCTGGCAAAGAAGTTGCGCAGCAATTTGATCGCGTTTTGCAGGTCCCTCTCGTTGAACATGGGGTGATTTTGCGAACTTTGTCTCCGCCCGTCTTTCGGGTAGGTACTCTGCCGTCTCAAGAGGCCGAACCTGCTGTGCTTCTGCCTATTTCCACCAGACAGGGCGGGCGCGAACCAAACCTTTTTCAGCAAATTGTCATTGAAAACGTCTTGCTTCCACTTCGCTTTCAGGGTCGTGATGATTTTCGGGCGGTGGTATGGTTCGTGCTGTTCATGTTCTTTTTGGCCGTGACGTAGACCTAGACCCCCTCTGGAGGTGGAACTGCTTGATGTGCTGGCACCAGTTGTTCCTATTCCAGCACCTCGCCCGCCCAACAATCCAAGCGCGGTTTGGTTCAGTCGACTGTGACCGTCCTCATACTGGTCGAGGACACCTTCCCCGGACAGAAACCCGCCGTTCGCGACGAAAAAGGCCCAGTCTTCAGCGGAAATTTTGGTTTCCGTGAAAGCAGAGAAGCTCGATGTACTAACACCAGCTGTCGTCATCTGTTCTTTTTCTTGTTGCAACTTCTGCTTCCACTTGGGAACAACATTCGCAGCACCCGTGCCTATTTTCGGGTTCGCGTAGGGAGCCGTCGCGGCCGCTGCCTCGCTATCTGTTTCGCTCCAGGGGCTCAAGGTTGTCATCCGGAAGGCCATGAGCGCGACCCACAGGGCAAAGGCTGCTTTTTCCGTTGCAAATTGGTTCATCAAACGGATAACCCTCTTGTAGATCAAATATTGCCGTTGCTTTGCTTGGTCGAATCCGAGCGATTCGAGATCATCTTGTTCAACATCTTGATGTTGTCCACCTCCAGTGTTGAACGACTCTACTTCCTTATCCTTGCTTTCTGGTTCTACCCCGCCCATTTGTTCCCGCAATTTCGAGCGCGTTGCCTTGGGCAGTTTGTAGTGCTGTTTGTATTCCTGCCCCGGGAGTGCGTCAGTTTCGAGAGCGGTGCTGAAGAGGTCGTAAAGTCGGGCGCTTTCATCTTGTTGCCGCTCTTCATCGTGATGTTCTGATCTAGCATCATTATTTCTTGCACGATAAGCTGCAGGAGAGCTCCTTCTATCGGCTCCTTTGTTCCTTGATGTTCTCTTCCCGGGAACAGCAGGAGCTGGCCCAGGACAACTGTTCGCTACCAGCTGAAACAGCAACACAAGGCGGTCGACGATCAATCCCTTGGCATACGCCCACGCCCACTTAGAGACTTCGTATTTGTCGGGATAAAGCGGACCATAGGAGCGCGTGGTCAGGGTTTGGTAGTAGGGCTCGGCTTGGGAGGAAAAGACCTGGTCCGGGTTGTAAACATACCAGGGAATGTAGCTGGTTTTTCCGTCATCCGCTTGCCCTTGCGCTTGTTCCTGGGAGTTCTTGTGCAATAAATCCTGGCCGGAGGAAAGATTTTCGAAAAACGTATCTTGCAGCTTTTTCAGCAATTCCTCGTTGTCGTTGCCGTGCTCGACATCCACATCAGCAGGATCCAGATCCTCTGCCTCTGGGGAACTACGCAGAGCTGCTGTTCCTTCATCTTCTTCTTCTCCGGTTGTTCGCGGTATCAATCCAACCGGAACTGGGTCTTTGGTCAAGTTCCCTTCCATATCAACTGTAAAAATGTCTGGGTCTGGAAACTTGTGATGCTGGGTGGCATCTCATGATGAGGCTACAGATGCTGGCTCAGCATGACAAGTTTCTGAGCTCCTAGGTGTTGCCTATTCTGCATGACAAACTGCGCTTCTGCATGACAGAAAAACGGAGCTCTTGTGTAACGTGCATGACAGATTTAACAGTCATGCCAGACAAGCATGACAAACATGAATTCTTCCACCAGACCCAGACATTTTTGCATTTGATATTCCACTTTTTTCAAAAAATCCGGCATCAACCTGCCTGAGGTTCTGTCCATAGCGAGGTCTTTGACTGTAAAGGAAGTTGCGTTTCTTGTATCGGCAACGGCAGTATCAAATGTAAAAATGTCTGGGTCTGGAAGAATGCGCGATTTGTCATGCAGCTTTCTCATGACCCACGAGGTCTGGAATGCAGGGCCTAGCATGACAGATTTTGTGCGATCTCTCTCATGCCTATCCTGCATGAGAAACCCCCTCGCGACTTGGTCAAAACTGGACGACTTTTGGTAATCATGCAACACAGATTTTTGCATGCTTCAGATTTAGCATGACAAGTTGCATTCTTCCAGACCCAGACATTTTTACATTTGATAGGCAGCTGGTCCCGCACCACCAGGCTGTTTCGACGTTGTCGGAGCACCGGCTACTTTGAAAGTCGTAGTGCTTCTCGTGCCGGCTTCTTTCAGGAACGTTTGCCCGACCCGGTCCAACAGGGATTCGGTCGTGATAACTGCTGGAGTAGCAGAAGATGGAGACACGACGTCGGGGGCCCCAGTAGCAGGCGGCCCTGGTGGCGGCCGTGTCTCTGGCGAGACCGAGACTTCTGCAGGAACATAAACACCAAGACCAACCGAGGCAACATTATTCTCAGCTGAGTTCTTCAACATCGTCCGTCCTGTAACTCCAGCTAAGAATCTACTGCCCGTCAAGCCGGTGAAGTTTCCTGGCAACTGATCCAGAGACCTCTGCTATCACAGGAAAAAAGTGCTACAGGTACAGTTACACACTTCTTGGAATTTCAGCATGACAAATTAGCTCTGCATGGAGCAAAAAACTTGTAATGCGCAGACCATATTAAAGGGAAAACACAAATGAAGTGACGCTGGCAAGCATTTCCTGCATGACAGAGGTTGTCAGTCTTGCTTGCCTTGCGTCAGAGTGTGTACCTGTAACACTTTTTTCTCACGATATCTGCTCATCCGCTTGTTCTGCCTCCGCCAGCATCTCGGGATCGAAAAGCGCGTCGCCGAAATCCAAGTTGTAACTCAGATTCAGAGGGTCTTGTGAAGATGAGACGAGTTCTTGCAGATGAGAGCTGTCTACTTGAAGATGACCACTTTGATGTTGTTCTGCTCCTGATGAAGCCGGCACATGATCTTCTGTGAAAGCACTTCCAAGAAGCAAGTTTTGCGGCCCCATGAGGTCCTCTACACTAGGCGGAATTACTAACTCCTCGACTGCTGCACCAGAAGAGCCGTCTTTCATCCCTGCCAGGTCCGGACTCGAGCCTGACTTTTCCGAACCGTGCGGCGATGGCTCGAAGGCAAAAAACGTGTCGCCAAACGGAGACTTCGGCGTGAGGGCAGCTGCGTAGGGCGAGGGGGCGGAATAAAGTTGCGAGCTCAATGCTGGTTGCTCTATTGTCGTGCTGTTTTTAATAGTACCAGCGGCGCATGAAGTTGAAGACGACGAACGTGCACGAGGGCCCACGACCTGCTGTGCAGGAGGTGGGTAGTGCGACGGGGTAGGTAAGCCCGGTGGCTGTTCATCTAGCTTCAACGGGTCCAGTAGCAAACTCGGACCGCACAGCCCCTTTCGGGAAAACAATTCGCTCGTCGGTGATATGGGCCCAGCGGTGCTGCTCATGTGGACGGGGGTGGTAGGTTGAATAACCGGGTCGAGAAGGGGACTGATCGACGTGTGGCGCTGTTGTGGTCCAACCTGCTGATGATTTCCCTGCACAACTACTGTGCCTTCCATCTGTATGGGTGTGTCAGGATTGAAACCGACAAAGTTGAAATAGTTTGTCATGCATAAAATGGATGCCAGTTGGAACCCAGTTTCCAATTGGTGCATGACAAATTTTGGCGATCCCTAAATCCAGTTTGTCATTCTGTTTAGGCAAAGAAGCCTGATTTTCTCATGCTACTTTAGCAGCTCGAGCTCTAACCCCAAACAGGCTTGCAATCGGCCTCACTTGCCTGCTCTGCAACACACGTGCTGCTTGTCATGCATTTAATGCATCACAAATTTTTCAACTTTGTCAATTTCAATCCTGACAGTTCCATAATCAGAAGAGGATCCGGACCCGGCTCCGGCTCGCAATCCGGCTGGTCTTCCTGCGCCGTGCTCGTACTTCGAGTCCGGCTGTGGGATATCGCAAGAAAGAACTGTTTCTCTGTGAACTTGTGATGCAGAGAACGAAGCACCAAGGTGTTTGTCTTGCTACACCTGCAAGACATTGGATTTTGAAGCGTGTTTTCCCTTGGGAAGCGCGCATGGCAAGTTTTCCGAGTCATGTTTAGCAAATTTGTGATGCAGATATTGCAAAATCATCACAGTGAAACAGTTTTTTCGTGGGATATGGGAGGTAAATTTGCTCGTGTTCCGCGAGACGAGTTCGGGGTCTGTCACTTCAGCATCGTTCGCGTCGAGCACACAGGCGGAAGACCACTTGTCTTGCTGGTGGTGATGAAGTTCTACTTCTTCTACTGCAAGGTGGTCGAGCGGACCAACATGTTGACAATCCAAGCCTACTAGCAGCTCATCTCCTTCGGGATGTCCAGGTCCACCAACTGTCGGCGGCAGGGCGGCCAGCAGGTCAGGAGAGAGGTTTTCCAACGGACTGACACGGCCGACAGGTTGTACTAGAGGCTGCTTGCTCTGCACTGTCTGATGTTCACCTGATGACGTAAAAGTTGTTCTTACATCACCAGCAGCAGCACCGCCCGTGAAGATCCCAGGAGGTGGGCCTGCAAGTGGTTGTGGTGGTCCCGATGCTCCTGTTGAAGAGCCTGCCGTAGAACTAGAAGTAGTACCTGCTGCGCCCTTAGAAGTACCTCCAACGCCCATCCTCCGCAAAAACGTCGCCTCTGCGCCCTTGTAGTCTTGCGCAGGTATCTGCTGCGGGTGGGCTCCTTGCGACTTCTGTTTAGATGCTTTGCGCCCTTTCTGTGCGACGACGTCATGTTCCTTTTTCTTGTTGTCACTGCCACGACTGTGAAGGTCCACACACTCTAGCGACTCCAACGACCCAGGTGGCGGTTGGAATACACTACAGGAAGTTGTACTAGAGCCTCCTGATTGAGTTGTACTAACTTGATGAGAAAGAGCAGGGCCCTTTGGTTCTTGTTGTTCACCACCAGCGGAGCCGGAGCAGCTACCGAAAGCTTTCTCTTTCGGATGTTTCATCTTCCCAGCTGCGTCCCCGGCCGCGACGCCACTTGCAGGTTTCGGTGGAGGGGGCGGAGGCCCGCGAGGAGGTGCGCTACCTGTCATACGATTTGTACCGGAGGAGCCCCCAGTAGTGGCACCAGCCTGCTGCTGCAACTCTGCCTGGACCTTCGGCGAATTTCCGATCGACCACGCACTGTACGTCGGGCTGGCACCACTCCCCACAGCGGAGCTGCAGGCCGCAGTCGTGGTGCTAGACCCACCAGCTGACATGCTCGACGCGGTCGTGCTCTCGCCTGACGTGTTTTTATTCCGACTGGTACCTCCACTCGGGAACGGGGTGTTGGGATTTTGGGACGATGAACTACAACCGCTGTGTTGCTGCAGCTGCTGTTGCAGCGGGGGCCCAGCAGGAGTTACAACCAATGCAGACCCGCTGACACCCGCAGATTTCGGCGTCGTCCGTACGGACGGACAATGTTTTGCCGCGGAGGAGTGGAGATTATGCGACGGGGATTGCGATTGCGCCACAGCCTTGGATATTTTCGGACCAGCGGCGGGGGAAGCCGGTAAAGATGATTTATTTCCTGCTCCACCAGATGGAGAGATCGGAAGTTGTTGGTCCGCCGCACTGCAGCTAGCGCTCAACTCAGATCTCGTGTCTGAATAAGCGTGGTCTGGTACTAGCTGATCCACATCCGCGAAACTCGCGGCCATCAACCCACCTGCGTTACTGTTTCTTTTGTCCGCAGCCTTGGCCAGCGCCTGTTGCTTCGCTAATTGTTTTTTCTGCTTCTCCTTCTCGGCTTGTCTCTCCCTCGCTTTTTGCTCCCTTTCTTGCTTCAAAGCGAGCTCTTCCTTGATATTGAGAGGAAAGATCCCCCCGCCCCATATCGAAAAGGTATGCTGTGTTGCTGATTTGAGGCCACAAATCACGTCTGTCTTGCAAGAAGACAACTCCACAGGCTCTGCCGCATTGTGCAGGTGGTTCGTGATGCTGTTGGGCCTACAGCATAGACGTTTCTCATGCTAAGCGCCTAGTCCAAAGGCTCTCTACTCAGGCTTGGCAGGAGCCTGCTGTCCTCTACTGCAAGACAAACCTGATTTGTATGCGCACGTCCAGCATCAGAAACTTCCTTTCGATATGGGGAGGGGGGATTTTTCCTTGTGATACTTGATCTTTTCCTCCTGTTGCACCTTGTACTCCTCCGCGAGACGCCTTCTCTCCTATGCATTGCAAAACAAGTAGTATCGCGCTAGTAGTACTTGCATCACAAATTTTTTTGCTCGAAGGCGGGAAATGGAATTTGCCATGCAGAATCAGCAGAAAACATCTCAATCTCTCATGCAAGATTGCATGTGCAAATCCAAAGAGTAGCACGATACAACTGTTGCACAGGATATCTCCCCCTGTTCTGCGGCTTCCTTTTCCAGCTCTAGTCTCCGCTTTTTCTCCTGTTCCTCCTTCTCCTTCTGATAAGCCTCCGAATTCTTCACATTTTGTTGCAACTCCTTCTGCAACTTCGCTAGCGCGGAAGTGGGTTTCGACTTGGTGGCGGTCGTGGACTTTTTCTTGTTCCTCTTCGGCTTTGAGGCTGAAGACGGCAACCCAGGAGCTTCTTCTTCGTCGAGATAATTCGCGGTTGTCTCAGCTGATGGCGTCTCCTGGTGATCTACTACCATTCCGGCGTTGCTTGTCCTTTTGTCCACAGCCCACGCATCCTCAACATAGTCCGATTCGTCGAACATGCTCGCAATTTTGTTGTTTCCAGGGAACTGCTGCTCGCGGCGGAGCTGCAGTTCGCGGCGCAGCTGCGGGTCTTCAACGTGACGGTCCAAAAGGTCACCACACCTGCCCAGCACATAGTCCATGGCTTTCGAGGCATTTGCCATTGCGACCATGTCATGCGTCACAGCTTCAGCTTGATCGTTGTAGAACTTTTCCAACTTTGCTTCGTCGTCATCATCACTGCAGTCGATCACCTCGGGGAACTCATCTTTACTTCCATGACACAACGGATTACCACCGTCGTTCAGCTCGACTCTATTTTTGAATGCCCTACCCTCCTCGGTGGCTAGCATGTTGTCGCGACCACGGATATCATCGCGCTGCTGCTCCGCGTCTTGCTCCTCTCTCATCTGTTTTTTCTTCTTTTTCGACATCCTCCCGCCCTTGATAACAGCAGCATGAGCATCTACTTCTTCTTCGCCTGTAGGAGCTCCCCTTGATGATGTTCCCTTTGATGCAGCATTCAAATGCTCCAGCATTTGTGCCTTCACGGCCATCGTTGCTTTTTTCTTCATTTCCTCGCCCTGGGTTAACGCCCCCTGAATCTTGCTCGCCGCTTGCTCGATCAATTGCGCGGCTTTTTCCCGCTGCGCGGCGTCCGTGCGCTTATCTACTTCCGCCTCCATCGCTTTGAATTCCCGTTGCATCTCTTGGATTTGCAACACCTGGTCCCGCGGAAGGTTTTTGATCTCGGCCTTCGACCGCACAATCAAGTCACACGTCGGGATGATTTTGTCCTGAAGTCGTTTCAACCTTTGCAATTCCTCCGGTGAAGTGTTTGGGTCAGCAAGGTGCAAGTCAATCGTGTTTCTCACCGACTGGGCGATTTGCTTCCGGAGCTGGTGGTCCGCCTTTTTACTCTCCTCGAGAGTTTGCTCCTGGGTTTTCTGCTTGGTTTTACCCTTTGCAGCAGCAGGAGCTCCTGCTGCTGTGGCCCCCTTCGGGTTACTACTAGACGAAGCGGAAGTTTTGGGTGCTGGCTTTGAAGGAGGCGGGGCCTTCGTTTTGGCGAGAGTTTTTTGCAACGACACCTCTCCCTTCGCTTTCGATTTTGGTCCTGCGGCAGCTGCTCCTGCAGCTGCTGCACCTGTTCCGTAAGCAAACTGCTGCACCAGCTCCTGCAGCTGCTGCGCCTGCTCTACTCCTGCATCACTAGAAGCCGGCGCCGGATAGCCGAACGCCTTGACGCCAGCGGAACCTCCACAGAGTGGCGTTGAAAAGGCATTGTTGCCCTGCACTGCTGCACCACCCGCAGCTCCAGATGACGAGGATTTTCCGCAGTTCGCTTCTATCCTTTTTTCACTTTCCTCACACCATTTCTGCATGGCCGCTGCGAACTCCCTGATTTGGCTTTCTTCCTTTCCGCATGTACTTCCCTTCATCCCCCCGGCTTGTTCTCCTGCTCCCAGTAAATCCGTCTCCGTTATGTTGAGCCCAGCCGCAGATTTCTTCGCTTCCGCGACAAATTTTACAAAATCCGCTTCCGTCATTTCCACCGTGCGCGTTGGTTGTTTTTGTCCTCCTGCTCCAGATAGTGTGGCATGTTCTTGTTCTTCTCGTCCTGCTGCATTTGCATTTCGCAAGTCCGAGTCCATCTCCTGCTGCACAACCGCAAAAGGCCCGATGGGCAGCAAGTCTGCCGTGGAGTCGGGCAAAGGACCGAAGCCGGACAATACCCCACTGCTGCTAGAAGAAGGGGAAGAGGCTGAGACAGAAGAATACGCTGCTCTAGCAGGAGCTGGAGTTTCTTGATGGCCACTACTACTAGAAGCACTCTCCTTATTTTTCCCGTGGTCACCGACTTTATCGCGCATAGCTGTAGTACTTCTATCACGCTGTTCCTGCAGCGTTTTCATTCTTTCCTCCATGGCTTTTTTCACCATTTTATGCTGTGCAAAAGTATCGCACTCGTACTAATTTCAAAATATGCATGACAAATCTTCTTCCTAAGGTAAAACAGCATTACAAATTGCATTTGTCATGCTGAGAAAATTTGTAATGCAATTTGTACTAGTACGATGCTTTTGCAGTTCATACATTTCCGGCGTTGCGTCGGCATCCCCGAACAGTCTCTCGTAACTCGCATTCAACCTCTCTTCGTCGACATGCATTCCAAACTATGCAGTGCAAAAGTATCGTACTCGTAGGATTGCAATACAAATTAGCTCAGCATGACAAATGGAATTTCTCATGCTGATTGAGCTTAAAAAAGAAATTTGTCTTGCATGACTGCGATTGGTACGAGTACGATACTTTTGCACAGAATACAAACTCCTGCAAAATGGACCAGGCCCGGTCCAAGCAGCTTTTCGTGAACCCATATCACCGTGAAAAATGCCCCCACCGACCCCCAAAGTTGCAATAATTTGTTATGCGAAGTTTCCAAATGAAAACTTTTTGTCATGCATGTAAAACTGATCAAACCGGTACCCCTGGACAATCGGGCACCTCCAAGAGTAATATGTATGGAAGAAAAGTATGATTTCTACAAAAAACACACGGGGAAATGTAGAAAACATACAAAAACCCGGTGTGAAAATCGGCACCTCCGTACCGAAAAAAGTAGAAAGGTGCGGCAGACGGAGCGACGAGAGCCCGCGCCTGTCATGTGCCGCAGCCGCGCGCGCCCGCGCCCTGTCGGCCGACACGACACGGGAGACGATAGGCGGGCGGCGAGCTGGCGACATAGCGCGCGCGCGCGCGATGAGGCAGTAGCGACTATGCGGAACGAAGGGCCGGCTTTATCATGTTTCTGTTGGCGGTTGTACGGTTGGCACCGTAGCGGCGCTCTGACAGTGGTTCGCTCGACGAACCGACGGACGAGTTATATGCCACTTTTCGCGAATCAATGGGGCTGATGCTGTGGCGCGTAGCCGAGCTGCTTGCGCGGTCTTTCAATTTGACGGGCGCCGTGGCAGCGCGAAGCGCACCTGGCTGCCGAGCTTCTTTTGTGTTGTTTTGGGCCCTGGGCGAAACGGGCTGACCTGTTTCAAACGGGCTGACCTGATTCGTCCGGGCCCGTGCTGTGTAATCGGTAACCCAGTACGGTGTGAATGGGCACCCCTGCAAAACCTCCATTTGTATAAAAAATGCACAAAGTCGTTGTTTTCCAATAGCATAAATTTTATGCAGGTGCCGGTTTGTACGGAGGGCCCCGGACTTTCCGGGGGCTCCGTTTCAACTGTTACACATGCAAGGAGTATGAATCTTTCTGATGCAGAGTTCTGGGGTCGTGGGTGCATTTTTCATTGTAATAACCCAATGCCTCTCTTCACTTCCCCCACGGCGTTTGCCGCGTCGGCAGAGTCGAGCACTTTCTGGATGTCGTGGAAGCCTTTGATCAATTCCAGAAACGCCTCCTGCTCCGGGACCGTTTCGGCTTTCAGGTTCTCGAACTTGTTCCGAATTTTTATGGATGTGTCAGAGTTGAAATCGACAAAGTTGAAATAATTTGTCATGCATAAAATGGATGCTAGTTGGAACCCAGATTCCAAGTGGCGCATGACAAATTTCGGTGGTCCCTAAATCCAGTTTGTCATGCTGTTTCGGCAAAGAAGAGTGATTTTCTCATGCTACTTTAGCAGCTCGAGCTGTAACCCCAAACAGGCCTACAATCGGCCTCACTTGCCTGCTCTGCAACACACGTACCTCGGGTCATGCATTTTATGCATTACAAATTATTTCAACTTTCACGATTTCAAACCTGACGCTTCCATAATTTTCGCCGTCTTGTTGGAGAACTCTTCCAGAAACGCTTTCTCTATGCATTGCAAAAGCATCGTACTAGCATAAATTGCATTACAAATTTTCTCAGCATGAAAAATTGAGTTTATCATGCTGTTTCACCTTGGAAAGGAAATCTGTCATGCATACCTGCAATTACTACGAGTATGATACTTTTGCACAGGATATTCTCGCTCTTGGCCTGATTCTCGGCGGAGGAAGCGGTGGGAGGTTTCATTTGCATCGGATACGGATAGGAGGGAGTAGTACCGGTGGTTCTACTTTGGTCTACTTGTACTTCTGGGCAGGGCGAGTTTTTGTCCTCACCGTTTCCGTTGCTCAGGAAGTACTGCAATGCTTCCATGGCTCTCTCGTGCAGATCCCGCTGCGCTGCGTCCGCGCTGGATTCCTCAGGTTCATCCGGGCTGGTGCTTACGACCGAAATAACATCACCTTCGGACGAAGAGGCTGCAGCAGCTGCGCCTTGTGTGGGACCACGAGGTACAACAGTTGCCATGTCGTTGTCCTCACCCATCTGTGCCCATGAAGTTTTCCCAGCACTAGCACTCGTTCTATTGCCTGGTGTGAAGATGCTGACGTCTCCAAACTGTTGAAAATGAATGCTGTCATTCGCAAGAAAACCGCCTGGATACGGCGGGTCGACGCACAGCTGGTGGTCTGATGATGTCCTCGCGCTGGGGTAGTAAGAAAACTGGGTAGAAGTACAACTTTGCGGACCGTCCGGTGCGGTTGGGACTACAGCTCTTCCACTTGTTCCATCGAAAGACTGTTCTTGTCCAGCTTGGAAGAAAGAAGGCTCCACGAGGACCTTCGGAGGCGGCTTCGGCGCGGCAATGCACGGGGGCAAGGGCGGTCGCGGCTTGTTCTCTGCTGCAGATGATGTCCGCCCCGGCGCCAGGTTCTTGCTCACGCAAGGCTCCGCCTTCTCTGCAATCAGCTGGTTAGCTTGCTGGATCAAGTGGCCGCATTCACGTGAAATCTCCTCCAAAGAACGATTCGCGGACGTGGCGGCCGCAGCAGCTGCAGCACTAGACGCTGCACAAGCAGCAGCTGCAGCACTAGACGCAGCTGCAGCACAAGCTGTAGCTGCAGAACTCGTGGTTTGAAGCACCTCCACAGAGTTCGCAAGGGAAATCGCCTTCCCCCGCGTTTTCGGCGGAGGCGGCGGGACAACGCGCGGGACATGCTGATGTTGGCCGCTAGAAGCGCTGCTGCAGCTTCCACTTCCAGTGCGCCCACTGCTACTACCAGCAACCCCCGCTCCTGTCGAACCGGTTGTTCCGACAGCTGCTGATTTTTTTCCAACATCTTGATGTTCCTCAGCATACTGCTCCGCTAGATCCTTGTGGAAGCGAGAATAGGAATAGCCCGCCGCGGTCCTCGGGTCGTCGAAATACAGCTTCTCTCCCCGCTTGCTCTTCTCGTATGCATTGCAAAAGTATCGCGCTCGTACTAATTGCGTTTATGCATGACAAATCTTTTTCTTAAGGCAAATCCGCATCACAAATTCAATCTGTAATGCTAAGTCAATTTGTGATGCAATTCATGCTAGTACAATGCTTTTGCATTTCATATCTCGACCAACTTGACGATCTCTGATTTATACCGGTGCTTCAGTTCCTCCGGCAATCGATCGAACTCCAAGGTCCCAGGTGTCGGGATCGGCCGGAAGTACTCTTCACCGGACCCACCGGTCATAAACTCAACTCTGGATGCGTCAGGTTTGAAATCGTCAAAGTTGAAATAGTTTGTCATGCATAAAACGGCTACCAGTTAGACCTACAGTGTGTAGTCGGTGCATGACAAATTTTCCCTGTCCTGGAAGCGAGTCTGTCATGCGGTTTAGGGCAAAAGAGCTGCCTTCTGTCATGCTAGTTAGCAGTCCAACTTTTGACCCTTGCCAGGACTATAATCTGCCTCCCGTGGGTCCTCTGCAATAGAGTCACTTTTTGTATCGCATTCTATGCATTACAAGTTATTTCAACTTTGTCGATTTCAACTCTGACGCTTCCATATCAACGACATTCACATTATGAAACGCCGTGGCGGAATCGACTAAGGCCCCCTGGGTTATCGGGAAAATATTCATTGCAAATATGTCTGGGTCGTCTGGAAGACTGCCAGGTTTGTCATGCATATTTTGCATGGTATGGTATGGTATGAGGCTTGCGCCCTCCAGGTACATGGTGTGCAAAATGTACCCGGAACCCCGACGATGGCCGTTTCTATGTTTGTAGGGGAGAGCCGCCCCTTGCATGACCCGTGACGCCTGTAATGCACGGCCAAGCATCACAGATTTTCAGAAGGCTTCCTGATGCTTATTCCGCATGAGAAACGCCCTCTCCACGTAGCACATACTGGACTCCGCTTGCTGGTCATGCAATACAGATTTTTTTCTGAATTCAAAGTCAGCATCACAAGTTGGAGCCTTCCAGACCTAGACATATTTGTATTTGATAGAAAATGTGGGTAATCAGTGTGCGCTTGATAGCCGCGGTTTCCTTTCCCTGGCGTTTGTTCGATCCAGCCTTCATTACGCGTTCCTCCTTTACAGAAGTCGTAGACCCGTCGTCATACATGAAAATGGAACGGCCAAACGGGACCTGCAACCCGGAAATTAAAAAGATCGCTTTCAACGAGTCTTGCATGGTATCGTACCCCAACCTATGCAGTGCAAAAGTATCGCACTCGTACTAATAAATTGCAGGTATGCATTACAAATCTAGCTGTTAAGGTAAATCAGCATTACAAATTTATATTTAGGTTTGTAATGCTGAGCTAATTTGTAATGCGATTTATACTAGTACGCCTACGCGAGTACGATACTTTTGCACAGGATACAACCCGTCGATCTCGGCCTCCCGGGTTGCGAGTAACCTCAAGTCGTCCCTTTTTTTCAACTTCTCGTTGAAGTAATCCGGCTCTCTTAGCAACGCTTCGTACTCCTTGCTGCTGTATCGAAGGCAAAAGTGCATCGCACTCGTAGTACTGATGGCAGTACAGCATGACAGATAATATGGCTTGTTCCTTGCTAAATGTAAATCAGCAATGCAAATTTCATTTTTCATCCACCTTCTGGAAAATATTGAAATGCAAATTCTACAAGTGCGAATCTTTTGCAATGCATAAGCTGCAGTCCAGGTCAATCTCCGTATCTCCCGGGTACTTCCCCTCGAACAGTTTTTGCGCGTCGAATTTTTGGTCTTTAGAAGCGTCTATCCTGTGCAAAAGTATCGTACTCGTATTGCAGTCCTGCATTGCAAATCTTTCGCATAAGCTAAATCCGCATTACAAATTTTATTTCTCATGCTGAGGAAATTTGTAATGCATTTATACGATGAATACGATACTTTTGCAATTCGTAGCGTCTTTTCCTCTTTTCTTCATCTGCTTCTGTGCAGCCTTCGAAGGTACGGGCTTGGCGCATTTTTGCAGCAGTTCGAATCTCTTCATGGCGTAGTAATTTTCCGCGAAGCCCAGCGATGGATCGGCGTTGACGAGGGCCGTTTCCAGAATGGATTGCAGAATCACCATAATACTTGCTCGGTTCTTCTTGGTTTCCACGATTGCCTGCACGACCTTCTCGATGTTTTGCATCTCCTGCAAACTTGCCGAATTTCTGCCGCCTGCCTCCTCCACCTTCTTCTTCGCCCCCTCGCGAGGGATTTTCTGCGGTGGGGCAGCCGGGGCTGCAACAACTCCTGGAGGTCCTCCTGCTCCAGAGGATGATGATGCAGCTGCTCCAGCACCCGCTTCTTGAGATGATGACGACGGCGCAGCTGTCGCTGTCCCCGTTACCGTTTGATGCTGGCCTCGATCGTAGAAGTCGCTGGGTCTCCTAGGTTCCAATCTCCGCACAAATCGTTCCACAGCTTCGTCGACGGTGACTCCAGGGAGGCACTTCAACTCCAGGATGTTGGTGATTGCGACGATGTTGTTCCTGTACACAGAGCCGGAAGAACTTCCGTGTTCTCCGCGCTTTTTCGCCAGCGATTCCTGGATTCTTTTCTGAAACTGCTTCTTCCGCTGCGCTTTGGCGCTTTGTGGAAGAGCTGCTTGAGGATCACCTCCTACTACTTCGTCACCAGCACCTCCTCCGCTACAGCCACTTTTTCCTGGCATACACGCTTGCAGCACTTTCATCAAAAAAGCCTTTTGCGGATCGGTCAGAAACTTGGCATTTTGACGCTGTTCGGCATCGGTGCTCCTTTGCATGATCGTCATTTTCGGCGGCGGATACGCAGGAGGAGTTTTAGAGCTGGCGCCACTAGCAGCAGCTGCAGTACCACCACCAGCACTGGTTCTTGCAGAAGTTGTTGTCCCGCTCACTAGATCAACATCCACCATGTAGCCACCACCCGACTCGTCATCTTTGTTCACCTCTAACGAAACCGACATGGAAATTGGCTCCTCGTTCACCTCATAGAGCATCTCCCCAGCATATGGAGTTCTCAAATGTTACATTCTCAACTCTTACACGATTTGTCATGTTGCGAACTTACCATCGGGATCGGAGTAGACACGATCAAGCTGCTTCGCATGACAAATTTTCGAAGGGCCAAGCAGGCTCCTACTCGTCTGTTCCAAATCTGTAATGCAAGACGCGCAAGGACCCCCTTTTCACTTTTGCCAGTCTTGCAGCATAAATTCATGCAACAGCTGAGAATGTAACAGTTGAGAACGCCATACAGCACTGTCGTGGTAAATCATCACTTCCCGTCGTATCAAATGTAAAAATGTCTGGGTCTGGAAGATTGCCAGGTTTGTCATGCACATTTTGCATGACTTCTGATGACTGTGATGCATGCCCTAGCATCACAGATTTTGTGAGGGCTTCCTGATGCCTATACCCCATGACAAATGCTCTTTCCGTGTAGCAAAACTTGAACTCTCTTTGCTGCTCATGCAATATAGATTTTTTTAGAATCCAAAACAGCATGACAAGTTAGATTCTTCCAGACCCAGACATTTTTACAGTTGATACGTCGCTCTAGCAAGCCATTTTGATCTTCATGTTCAGTAGATGAAATCACCACAGTCGTAATCCAGCGGTCTGGAAACTGCCGGGCTCCCGACTGCAAGAGGTCTCTTTTCACCTGCCGCAATTCATCCCCAATAATCGGCTGGACGTCGATGAAGGGTTCCTGTTGGACTCGCACGAGTTATCAAATGCAAATATGTCTGGGTCGTCTGGGACAATGCAAGTTTGTCATGCTTTGCCGATGAGACAGAAAAGTCTGTCATGGCTGTTCCGCGACAGCGCCACTACTTGTTTGTCATGCAAAGAGGCGATTTGTCATGCGCGTGACGCTCGACATAACCGCTCAGAAACTTGTCATGCGCGGACCCCTATATACAGGTTGCGCGTCATTCGGACATTAGCATCACAACTTTCCAGATCCAGACCCAGACATATTCGCAATACATACGAGTTTTTGCATTACCATGGTCCGATCCCCGAGAAATTTGTCGGCTTCTTTCAGGAGTTCTGTCCTCTTCTCGTCTATCTTCTGTTTGTCGAAGGGGCTCAAGTCCGCATGGATGGTAGCTTCGATTTGGGTGAAGTCGGAGGAATTCCCGCCTGTATTGGACGTCGCTCCTGAGCCACGAGAAGAGGGCAACGGAACATTATGAATCCCCGGCGGGTGGGACGAACACGTCTTCGAAGTAGGAGCTCCGCCGCAACTATCGGGAACACAGCCGCCTCCAGTCTTTGATGCTCCCATGCCCTTCCCACTAGAGGAACGAGCCGCCGAGGATGAGCACAGCGCAGGAGATTCATCTGGCGGGGTCTGGACCCCACTGACCACAGTCGTCGTTTTCGTCTTCCCCGCCTTGCCTTTCCCAGCAGCACCTGAAGCACTACAAGCCGCAGCGGTCGTGGGAGTCCTAGTTTTCCCGGACGAAGCTGCATTTTCACCTTGTTGCTCAAAAACGCCGAAGACCTCCTGCACGAGTTTTTGGCCTTTCTTGTACGCTTCCAGTGCCTCCTTATCCACAGAAAAAAACCCATCCCCATCCAATTTGTCATGCAAAACATACATAAAATTCTGTGTTTGTCATGCAAACTATGGATGTGGATGGGTTTTTTTCTGTGGATACTCCTGTGCAGTACATTCAGCTTGTTGCTTGTCCTCGGCATCGTCCGCAATTTCCTGCAGTTTATCAACTGTAAAAATGTCTGGGTCTGGAAGATTCTGACATTTGTCACGCACGTTTTGCATGAGCCATGATGTCTGTGATGCGTACCCTAGCAATACAGATTTTCAGAGGGCTTCTCGATGCCTATTCCGCATGACAAATGCCTTCTCAGCGTGGCAAAACTTGCATTCCCGTTGGTACTCATGCAATACAGATTTTTTTGGAATCCAAATGCAGCATCACAAGTTGCATTCTTCCAGACCCAGACATTTTTACACTTGATACAGTTTCTCGCAAAGCAGTTGCAACGTCTCAGCCTGGGCTGCCTCTTGCTTCAGCTTGTCAACATCAATGGATGTTGGTGTTGCAGTTGGGACTGCAGGTATGATAGCTTTATTGTCGCAAGTAGATGTTGCTGTTGCACTACCTTTTTTATTCTGTGCCGCAGGAACGCTCCTGGAGGTGGTATTTTCCTTCAAAAAGCCCTGCTTCAAAATGCCCTTTTGCTTCTTCTTGGGTGGGGGAGCAATAGCAATTGCAGCACCACTAGCTGAGCCAGCGCTTCTGTCGTGTGTTGAGCAGCTTATTTCAGCATCATCATCTCCTGTACTGGCCTGCCTCTGGGCCGAGGCAACATCCTGTGCTTCTCTTTCTTCTCGCGGTTCGGCGCGGGATAGTTCAGCACCATTCTCATCAGCTGCTGGCTCATCATCTTGTTCTCCAGGACTGCAAACATCGGAAGTGGTCAAAAATTTCTTCATTTCTCCAAGTTCCATTTTCCCCTTGCTGTTCCTGTTCAGGGGCACCACAAAATACGGCACTGCGGCCATCTCGTGCCCAGGAGCCGCGGAAAACGCATCTTTGACGAGATGTTTTGAAAATTCACGCAGCTCCTCGGTGGTGATCACCTTCGTAGCAATTGTTCCACCTTGATGCTCCGCAGCAGCAGAGCTGTCGCACTCTTGCAACTTTATCAAAGCCGCAGCGAGGATCCGCTCGTCTTCGCTGCTCAGAGCGGATTTATTGTCTTCATTTGGATCATCATCATCTCCGTTCTCTGTAGGTGGTTCCGTCGGAGTGCTTTTTCCGGAGCAAGGCGTGGTGGTAGCTCCTGCGCGTGGTGCGTCTCCTATCGTGCAGTTTCGCATATCTCGTTCCAGGTGAGCAGCAGCAGCTGCGAGGTCGTCGAGATCAGGTGCTGGTTGTTGTTGGTCAGCATTACCAGCGGCGGCAGCATCTTGCTCCCACTCATCCTCAGGATAGTAAATGTTGCTTCCCGGCTGTAAACAGCGAAACCTGCGTCCGTCAGTAGAGGTGAAAGTTTCCGGGAATTGAGCTGAGTACTGTGGCGGGGGACAAGAGGAACCGGATTGCTCCTGCTCTTGCGGCCCGAACGTTTCCGGGGGTCCGGCGGCGGTGGGTAGCAAATAAGGATGGAAGTTTTGCATGAAGCTTGTACTAGTAGACGAACTAGAACCAGAACTCGTCTTGAAACTGCTGCTGGCGGCCCGAAGTGCCTCCTTTGCCGCGGCGATGCAGGCAGGTCTTTCCAACTCGGCCGCCTCGCTCAGGTCGATGATCACGGGAGTGGCCACAACGGAGGTCGAAGCAGCGCAATCAGCTGCTGTTGTCTGCTGCTGTTGATCCGATGTTGAAAATCCTGCACCTGCTGCTGCCGCACCATCATGAGAATCTGCGCGAGATGAAATTTTTCCTTCTTGTCCAGTACTTGTACTACTAACCACCACCCCTTGTTGCAGCTGCATGGTGACGCGAACTCTTTTCTTCTCTCCCTCCTTGGTCGTTATCACTTTCTCGTATTGTTGCTCTTTCGTTTTCGGCCCGAGATTAATCACCGGCAACGCTTTTTGACTTGGCGCATTGGCTGGATCGTGATGGCCGTAGAGTTGTTTTTGGTCGAATTTTTCATCCGGGTCGTCGTGGTCATCTTCGTCTTCCTCGTCTTCCCGAGAACCCGGCTTCATCATCTTGCCGGAGGTCGACGTCGATACCATTCCAGGAGGCAAAGCGTAAGTCGACAGCGAGCCGACGCCAGCACCGGAAGAAGATTTACTTCGCCTGATGTTGATGTCCTTCGGCCTCTTATTCTTTCCCTTTTTCACGGCTGGAAGTGCACGCAACGCGGAAGATTCCGGGTTGGCAGAGGGGCTAGCGCCACCTCCGGCGGCGCAGCCTCTATCCGTAACATGCTGCACCACCGGCGCCTTCAGCTTGGTTCCACTAGCTTTTGCTGCATCTCCTCCAAAGGGGGCTGACGATCTACTACTGGAGCCCGCGTCAGTGTCTCCTGAAAGCCGTTCCTTTGTTTCCATCGCTGTGGGAGGTCCACAACGAGTGCACGCAAAAGATCCGCAATCTGAATCTTTTACGAATCTTGGCATTGGGATATGCATTGCAAAAGCATCGCACTAGTACAAAACGCATGACAATTTTTTCGTAAAGGAAAAATGAAATTTGTCATGCAGAACAAGCTAAAAAAGCAGATCTGTCATGCAAGACCTGCATTTAATATACGAGTACGATACTTTTGCACAGGATATGGAACTTGTCTCGCCAATTCGTCAATTCCCGCCGTGGTTGGCTTCCCGTAGGCCTTGCTGCACAGCTATCCACAGTAAATTTTCCGTACACGTACAAATGCAGTCTCTGCATGACAAAATTGAGTTTCGATCCTAGTTTAGCATGACAAGTGTTACAGCACTCCAAATTGGTGAAATTTGTATAATGCATTTTGTAGTACATGTACGGAAAATTTGTATTGCATAACAGCGGCGCCCACTTCCAAATGTCCAGAAACGGTTGGTAGATAAACGGCCCGTGCTCCGGTGTGTGGTGATTTATCATGCCAATCGGGAAGGCGTAGGGGTTATCCAATGCAAAAGTGTCTGGGTCTGGAAGATTGCGAGATTTATCATGCAGATTTTCCTTGACCCATGAGGTCTGGAATGCAGGGCCTAGCATGGCAGAGTCTGCGAGGTCTCTGCCATGCCTATCCCGCATGAGAAACTCCCTCCAAACTTGGTCGAAAGTGGACAGCTTTTGGCACTCATGCAGCAATGATTTTTGCATTATTCGGATTTAGCATGACAAGTTTTAATCTTCCAGACCCAGACATTTTTGCATTTGATAGGGGTCCTTTTTGATCAAGTCTAGACTCAGGCTCATTGGGAACTGCGTACCCGCGATCGTCAGCATCTCGATTATCCTATGCATAAACGTCCCCACGACCACATAGTCAACATGGGGAATCGGCTAGACAAATCCACAAGTTTTGGCTGTTTCGCACAACAGATTTCGACTCGTGGCGTAGTGCTGTTTGAGCTAGCTCAGCAGGAGCAGCATCACAGATCTAGTATGTCATGCTGATTGGCGCATGACAAATTCTAAATCACGACTAGAAAATGCTTCTCATGGGGCTCCGCATGAGAAACATTTTTGGCATGCAAATTTGCATTACAGCTATGGGATCGATGGGAACGTTTTTAAATACGATATCGATCGGCAAAAACTTACTCTTGCGCATCATCTCTTCCGACGTTAAATGCCCGAACGTCGTGTCTTTCCCCGTGTTATGCACTGCAAAAGTATCTTCGCGCTCGTACTGATTGCAATTGTACATGACAAAGCCAACTTTCTACCTGAACTAACATGACAAATTGCATTTTTGTTTGTGAGAAAATTTGTGATGCAGTTCACACTTAGTGCGATACTTTTGCAATGCATACGTGTTTTTCCACAAAAAATCGTTGACCTTTTCCATCGTGATTCGGTTTTTCAACCTCGCGCCCGGATAGGTTCCGGCGCTAGCAGCTATGCACTGCAAATATGTCTGGGTCTGGAAGGATGCGAGGTTTGTCATGCTTGTCTGGCATGACTGAAGAGTTTGCGATGCGTGTCCATAAAGAGACCCTTTTGCTTGTCATAGAAAAACGCAACTTGTCATGCGAAAAGCGCAACACTAAGACGCGCAAAAATTTCTCATGCTCGGCTGTGCATTACAGAGCATTCGCTGTTCACAGCCCAGCATTACAAGTTTCCAGACCCAGACTACATATTTGCATTTGATAGCAGCTGCTCCCCCAGCCGCGTTATTTCTTTCGTCCAGGGCGAAATAGTCGAAGTTCCAATGCTATGAACTGCAAAAGTATCGCACTCGTAGTAATTGCTGCTATGCATGACAAATCTCTCTCTTAAGGGAAAACAACATTACAAGTTCCGTTTGCCATGCTGACCAAATTTGTGATGCGATTTCTACTAGTACAACGATACTTTTGCAGTTCATAAATCCTGCACGGGAATCGATTCCGCGTAGCGCAGAGAGGAGGAATTAATGTGGAGCTCGAAATTCGGTTTATTGTTCCCCTCGTTTCTTTCCTTTCTTTCCAAAGAATCCTTCCAGGCGAACTTCG